CGTGTCTGCTCCTGTCTCTGACGTTGCCCAGCGCCACTTCTACATCCCTCACCATGGGGTTACTAATTCGAATAGTACGACTACTGCATTGCGCGTAGTCTTTGACGCATCTTGCAGTCCGCGGGATCGATCGTTGAATGACACTTTGTTGATTAGTCCCAAACTACAAAATGAAATTGTAAGTATTCTGTTAAGTTTTCGAAGGTTTCCTGTAGCATTTACTGCCGATATCAAAATGATGTATCGACAAATACTTGTTAATGACAGCCACCAAGACTACCAACGTATTTTATGGAGATTCTCCCCTCGAGAACCTGTTCAAGATTTTCGCCTAAAAACCGTAACCTACGGATTAAATTCAGCTCCTTTCCTTGCTCTGAGATGTCTTTTACAATTAGCCACCGAGGGTAGAGATAGATTTCCTAGGGCCGCAGCAATTTTAGCGTCCCAAGTGTATGTTGATGATATATGTGTATCTTGTAAATCTTTAGAGGATGCTGTGGATATCAAACAACAACTTATTGCTCTATTGGATGAGGGTTGTTTTTTCCTTAGAAAATGGTCTAGCAATTGTGTTGACTTCTTAGCTACTATACCTTCAGATATTCTACAGAAACCTCTCGCACTTGACACTAAATCCGATCCTTACTTGAAGGTTTTGGGTCTCAGATGGTCTCCAGAGAAGGATATCTTCTCATACGACATACAATTTCTCAACTCGACATGTACTAAGAGATCTATACTTTCTGAAATCTCCAGAATTTTTGATCCAATTGGATTACTTTGTCCCATAATTCTATTAGTTAAGCAGCTAATGCAATCTTTATGGGCGAGAGGTATCGACTGGGACAGTGAAGTGCCCGCAGATATTGCCCAAAGGTGGACCGACTACAAAAATGAATTGCCAAGTCTGTCAGCATTAGAAATACCCCGTTATTGTTTTATTTCAAAGTATGTTAGTTTAGAATTCCATGCTTTTGGGGATGCTTCAGAGCTAGGTTATGGAAGTTGTATCTATTCTCGCCTCGTGTCTCCAGATGGCCAAATTTCTACTTATCTCCTCTATGCTAAGAGTAAAGTATCTCCATTGAAGAGATTGAGTCTTCCTAAATTGGAATTAAGTGCTGCATTAATGGCTTCCAAATTGCTTAAATATGCCTTAAATGTCTACAACATTCCCGACGTACAAAATATTTATGCTTGGTCTGACTCGACTATAGTCCTAGGTTGGATAAGGTCACCGCCCTGTCGTTGGCGCACTTTCGTCTCAAACAGGGTGAGTCAGATTCAAGACAATGTAGCACCTGAACGTTGGTTTCACATCAAATCAGAAGACAATCCAGCTGACCTTGCGAGTCGCCCTGTCCTTCCGTCTGATTTAGTTGACTGTCCCTTATGGTGGGCGGGACCAGCTTGGTTGTCGCGTCCCTCCGAAGAGTGGCCCAAACACGAACTTGGTGAATTGGACGAACCACTACCAGAAGAAAGAGCGACCATTCTCACGGTAATAAAAGGCTATAATCCTGTTGGTGATATTTTGAATAGGTATTCATGCTTACAGAAAATACTTCGCCTTATTACTTATTGGCGTCGTTTTCTTGGCATTCGTTTTAAAGTGGTTTCAGTGGTTAAAAAGGGTCCTTTCACGGAGTACGAGTTATTTCAGAGTCTTCTCCGCATTGTGAAGCAAGTACAAGCAGAAGCCTTTTATGAAGACATTTCCAATCTTTCGAACAAGAGTGTTTGTTCCAAGCCGTTAAGAAAGCTTGCTCCTTTCATCGACGAACAAGGACTTCTCAGGGTAGGCGGACGCCTTACTCACTCTCAACTTGATTACGATCAGAAGCATCCCGTTTTGCTTCCCAACAAACATAGGTTGACTGATCTTATAATAGAGGATTTTCATAAAAGATACCTTCACTGTGGACAGCAGGCCTTGCGCTATTTTATATCTCAACGGTTTTGGATTTTGGGTGCTAAAGGAGCTATAAAACGTATTGTCCATAAGTGTTTCCGCTGCTTTCGAACACATCCTCAGGTAATAGAACCAAAAATGGGCGATTTGCCTAGTTTCCGCATTACCCAAGCCAAGCCCTTTCAATGTACTTCTTTGGATTTCGGTGGCCCTTTTCAGATACTGATGTCAAGACATAGAGGTTGCCGTACTCAAAAGGCTTATCTATCTCTCTTTGTGTGTTGTTCTACAAAGTGCCTGCATTTGGAACTGGTATCAGACCTATCCACTTCTGCCTTTCTTGCGTCATTGCGTCGCTTCATCAGTCGACGTGGTAGATGCTCCAAATTGCACAGTGATAACGGTACCAACTACGTTGGTGCAGCTCGATACTTAGCAGATTGCATGGCTAAAGCAGCCGCTGAGGAATTAATCGAGTGGCAATTTTTCCCTCCTTCAGCGCCTCACTTTGGTGGGTTACACGAAGCTGGCATTAAAAGCGTCAAAACCCACATTACTAAAATCATAGGGGAACAATTACTTACCTATGAAGAATTTTACACAGTTCTCACTCAAGTTGAGGCCATACTCAACTCTAGACCACTTTGCGCTATGAGTAGTGATCCCAACGATCTATCCAGTTTAACACCAGGTCATTTTCTCTCCTTAGCTCCTTTATCAGCTATTCCCGATCACGACCTCACTTGTGTTCCTATGAATAGACTTGATAGGTGGCAGTTACTGACCAAAATGCATCAATCATTTTGGAAAAGGTGGCATATGGAATATCTTCATTCTTTACAACAGAGAGCTAAATGGGATAAAGATACCACTCTTATCAGGCCGGGTACTCTAGTTGTACTGAAGGAGGATAATTTACCTCCCCTCCAGTGGAGACTGGGACGGATTGATTCCATTCACCCTGGTGCTGACGGTGTTCCACGAGTAGTCACTGTCAGAACCCAAAACGGTTTAATCAAACGACCGGTTATTAAGGTATGTCCTCTGCCGGCCAATTAATCACAATTGATAAACTTTAATATTAGCATATTTTGTTTATTTTCTTTTTTTTGTTGTTTTTTGAAATACCGTTGTATTTGGTGGGCGGTATGTTCAGTTTTGGTTATTTATTTTGTATATTGACACTAAATATTAATTCATTACCTGGGTTTTCTATATATTGATTTCTTTATGATTCGGGGTTAATCGAATACATTTATCAATTTTTATTTTAATTTAATTTTTTATATACTTTATGGTAAAAAACGCGTGTCATTTCACCGCGATAATATGAGCCCTCGGGTTTTGTTTGGCCGAATTACCGCGCATAGTTTTCGCGTGTTTGCGATTGGTAACCCCCACTACATTGCTGCAATGGACATGGTGTGGAGAAAGAAAATCCGAGAGGCCTCGGGGGTCTTACACTAGAGTGCACATAAGGTAGGCCGTTTATTTTATAATTCGAGGGTTTATCCGTAGTTTTGTTTTGTTCGTGATCAAATTTTAAATTAAGAATTTATTTCGATGAACTTGTATACTATTATTCCACACGCGGCTTCTAAAAGGAAGTCTAGGAAACATTGAGTTTCTTACACCAGTGACGTAGTTTTCCTTTGAAAATTACAATTTTTCATTTACAAACTATGCTTGTGTTTTTTTTACTATTAATTAATTTGGTTAGATTTATTATGAGCTTTTCAAAAATATGTAAAACATCAGAATTATTTGGCATATATACATTGTACGCAGCGTTACGTTTCCCGATATCCGAAGCAATTTTTCTGTGTTTCTTCTTTCCGGAGGTGTTACACGAACTTTTTTTTATCGTTTTATTAAAACCACTGATTTTTTACCATTCCAAAAACCCAACAGCTACGACAGGAATATTCAAATCAACTTCACCTGTAATTTGAGAGTCTCATAAACTATGAAAGTTATAAAAATTTGCCACTGTTACTTCCAAGCTTACAACCTGAGCCGAACATTTAGGCAAATGTTTGAAAAAACAGACGGAGCAGACAAACAATGAATAAGAGGGTTTTGGATAAACTACAATAATATGAATGCTGTAGCAAACATGGAATAAGGCAACAGAAAAATGTATGGGGTAGAGAAGAACATTCATTTGCCAAGCTCTACTCAACTGACGCTACTGACATTGCGCAATCTATAGATAGGAAGGAAATAGTAGAGCAGCGAAATAAATCGATTTAGCTGAGGTAAAAAAACAGCAGCAAGTCATTCTAATGATAAGCTCAAGGAATTAGGGCGCTAAGAAAAACACAAAAATCATGAAAGTAGTGATTCTTAAAAACAGCAAAACGAACTTTTTACCGTTTTCAAAACAGTTTTTGACAACAATAAGAGATGAAATTATTGAAAATGATCAAAATTTTGAAAGTTTAATAGAATGTGGCATTAATTTTTCAAAGAAACTTCCGCAGGCTACTGTAATACTTTTTACATAACTTCTAGATTCCTCCTGCGTCGGTTTGTGCTGAGTCGAAATTGCTGACGTTTCGCCAATCATCCTGTTGGCTTCTTCAGAGCTTGACTGAAACTGGCTCGCATTTTACTCTGTACCTGCTTATATATTGTTTGAGGGGGGCGCTAATGAGGGGTATATCGAAGGGTGTATCGAGTAAAATGTTATTTTATTTTTCGATAAAACTAAAGTAATTTTCACATTTCACCCCCATATTCAGAACGCCATCGGGTTTTTCATAGTTCTTAGTTCTTAGTTCAACATTTCTGTTTGTTCCACCTGTGGCCTGAAAAAGTAGCGTAGGATCACAAAAATCGCAATACGATAGCTTTATTGAGAAGCTTATTCAAAACCATTAAAAATAGAACATACCCCAAATAATTGAGGGAGCGCGTACAAGGAAAGGACTTTAATAGTTTGACAGTCGATACTGTGGAAGCAAGAATCTTATTATTCTGTCATAAAAGCAAGATTAAGAACTTCTTTGAGATTCTAAGATCTGAATGAACTTAGGTTGTTTTCTGTTACTATTTTCGTTGTGATTGCTTCTATTTGTTTCAGGAAAGGGAAATTTGAAACAAATCAACGCATCATCGAATCTTATATTAACATGCACGTTGAGGAAAAGTAAGTAATCTTCTATCTATATCGACTAATTTACTTAATTACATTCTCTATTCAGCTCAATTTTGATAAATAAGATCCCTTTTTGATGAAATACGGACAAGGAGAAAAAAAACCTTTCAATTGTAGGTTGAAGAGTTAACATTTCACACAAGTTTAACGTAAGCGAGTGATTTAAGCATACAGATCAAAAATCACTTTTCCAACACGAGTCGCACAGGATACTATTAACAAATGTTCCTTATTTTAATCGCAAATGCCATTCGCGGGTTTACTAATTTTACTGTAATTAAATTATAGTTTAGATTGTAAGATAGATAAATTGTTCTATTGAATTAGCTTTTCACTAACTAACGATAAAAACTTCAAGTACAAATCTAATTCGGCCAAGCAGCATAGTTGTTGACAAGTGATGATTTCTCGTAGGTATGTACTTCGTTCGTCTGAAACTGTTTGCAGTTTTAAATGTCCAATAAGTAAAATTATATAAAATGTACTCACCAGTCATGTTAACATCTGCTAAAGGGAAATCGTTATACTCCTATCGCCAGTGCTGTGATCAAAAAACTGAAAAACCGAATGACTAAACGATTTTAGTCATAGCGCCAGCATCTATGCAACATTTCTGTATAAAGAGCGTATACAAAAACTACGAAATTCATGTATCCAATTGACTTTTGGAATTCTAAAGTCGGGACAGGCTATCTCTAAATTATGAGAGCTGGATTGCATATATATTTTTCAGAAATTGAATATAAATTATTCCTTCGTTTAGATGTTGCCTTACTGCGCATCTGCTCTGGAGTGATTGAACATATGTAAATAATGTTGTAATTGCCTACTTGAGGATAATAAACGGTGGTATTGTTATAATTATATTATTTTAATTTCAGAAGACCTCCACGTTCAGTTAGAAGAAGACGAGCACGAATCTTTCGTGCTCTCGACGACATCGAGTCAAGCGGGAGAGGTCGACCCCGATTCTTTTACGGCCGAGGACAATCGCGAGACCTGGGGCTCCAACACCGACTTTTTATTATCTATTATTGGATTCGCAGTGGATTTGGCGAATATTTGGCGGTTTCCTTATCTATGCTATAGAAACGGTGGCGGTAAGATGGGAATAATTAAATATTTTTACGGCTCCGTTGCCTCCTTCTATTGTTATCTAAGCGTGACCCAAGATTTCCGCTTCATAAATTTTGTGATCGTACGATCGGCCAACGGTTCGATATATAGACCGAAAGTTGATAAATACTACCTTGCGTTTTTTAAATCATTTAATTGTATTTTTGGAAGTTATGGTTGGTAAGCGTTGCTCTAAAATCTTAGGTACACGGTCTTATAGTATATTTTTACAATTTATTGAACATACCAACCGCGAGATCAAATACAAAAAAAAAATATTTCCATTTAGACTTATGCCGACCCTCGGAAACTGCCAATATTAGAACAAAAGTTAAACACGTACACATCCACATAGAATAAAACAAAAATTATTACAATAAACTATTTGCCGAAAAAAAGTAGGCAAATGATGATAAAGTTTTATAGGCATTACAACCGCCAATGCACAATTTATGACAAGCAAGTTTTTTATCAAAATTAGGTTTTACCTGCTTATATTGTTTTAAGGATTCAAGGATTCCGAGGATTCATGCTATATGCTATATTAAGTTACTTAATGGCAGAGAGTAATAAAATGTAAAAATTGGACTGAGGTGGCTTTTACTTGATGAAAATCCATTTATCAAAATAAATAAAAACAAAAAGTTCAGTTTTTCACGAAATTATATATTTTGACATGACAATTGTTTCGACAATACCGTGTCTTTATCAAATGTGTCACATGTAAATTTGCAAAGACATGAATCAATAAACAGGATGAAAAAAATAAAGTTTGTATTGTTAACTTAAATTGCAATGACAGTTTTGAAAAACTCCTACGCACCTCGAATCGGTTTCAAATAAGGGGAACACTAATTTTTGATACAATAGAAAACCGAATTTGGTGACTGAAAGTAGTATGACGGCGGCGTTACTCGAAGTATTTTAGTAGATTATTTACAAATAGAATTACAAATAATCATAATTTTAGATATTGGTAGGTAATTGAGATGTTAATTAAGTACAAGTAAACGTATATAGAAGCAATTATAACATGAAAATTAATAAATTGTAATGAACATTAACTTTAGTCATCATAGTCTGAATAGTTCAGAGAAATAATGAGATGCTCTACGGTGTTTTCTAGCGTGTTATCAGCTTTCCACATTCCGCCTTCTATTTCAATCATATGTACTTACCTCATCGTTCACAATTCACTGACTTTAGTTCATCTTGCAAAAGAGTTTGAACGTCCATGGATATTTTTTAGAATTTTTTTGAGTGGTAGCTGGCATTATCCATGACATAACAGACTCAGGAAAAATAAGATCTAGTATTTCCTGAAAGTAAAACCATCACAATTCACCTTTTTGTTGTATTCTCCAGTCCGTTTCCCGACGGTGCTTTTATTCCAGACGACCATTCTTCCTTGGAAGTTCGCCGCGCACTTTTTAAATGTTTATTCTTCTATGTTATACTATTAATTAACGTCTGAGATAGATGACAGTTGTCTGTCCCCTCTTGTCATGGCTTTCCTCTACCGACACTGCTCTCGTGGTTTTCACCATTATGTACCGTGGTCCAGAACGCGATTTGTGGCTTCAGTCCCCAGTCGTGTTCCCAAAGGCGACGACACATCCACGGAGAGACGCCTTATTACATTAACGTATACTGTTCAGGAGAGCTTGGGTCCAGAATCGCCCCACATACTTCACCTGTCTCAACATTACGCCGTGCAGAACAGGACAAAATAATTTCGCTGTGCTTCTGCTTGTTTGTAAACAGAAATAGCTCCATTTTTGTCTGATTTCTCGACAAACGTTTTCAAACATTTTGTTCACACACAGAATTCGCTAGTTCAACCAAGAGTCCTTTGTATGAGCTCCATGACAGTTCCTAGATACTTGCCTTTAATGAATATATACAGTTCGTCCACCCGAAGTGACACCCACTAGTATTTCAAACCGTTACCAGGAAGACTATAACTAAATAATTTGTCCTGTGGTAAACATAATACATAATGGTAAATGCCTGCTGTAAATCTAAGAAAAAAGATACCTTTCGATTTCGATCAAAATCGCGAAAAATATGTCTGAAGAGCAAAAATATTGTTTTATCTGTTGAGCGTTTTTTTCCGAATGTCGAATTGCATATTTGAGAAATAATTATAGCTATCTAATAGCTCATAGGCGGATGTAAAATACTTTCACGAAAATTTTGGATAACAAGGACGGCGATAGGTACCTCTGTAGTTAGAAATTAATCTACTATCGCTCTTTTTATCTAGTCTCAGAAATAAAGCCAATTGTGTACTTTACTTGAGCATGGAAAACCTCCACAAGCAAAATTTCGCTTTGTGAAATCAAGCAGATAACCAACATATTGCGCAGTTGAGCCTAATAACACTTTTACTTTTCAGGCGCATTTTTAATACCCTATTCGTTAATGCTAGTCTTTGGTGCGGTACCCTTATTTTACATGGAGCTTATCCTTGGCCAGTTTAATAGGCAGGGTCCAATTAGTCTGTGGAGGATATGTCCGTTGTTTAAAGGTAGGTTTTTGATTACCCGCTACAATGTGATGCTTCTTTTATATCTTTTCAGGCGTTGGATTTTGCGCGGTACTGGTAGCATTTTACGTGTCATTTTACTACAACGTCATTTTAGGTAAGTTGTTCTAGAACTAGAAGCAAGATTGTTTTGGTTAGTTTTAGTTCGTCCCAGGGACGTTGAATATTGTCACTTTTCGAGATATATATTTCCAAGAATATTTTTTCGTTTTTATGATTTTTTTTTACGCGATGACTCTAAGAAAATAAATTATGATTGTAATCTTTACAAAAAATTAAAAAAAAAACAAACAATCACAAATCTACTTTACCGATTTATCTTTCAGCTTGGGCTCTGTACTATTTGGGTTCAAGCATTTCAGCAGAACTCCCGTGGATGCATTGCAACAACACATGGAACACGGAGCTGTGTTGGGAAACGAGGATGATGAACGAGTCAGGCAGAAATCTAACCGGTCTGAGTAATGAGACGATATCGAAAATGACCAAATACACCCCGGCGTTTGAGTTCTTTCAGTAAGTCGACATGTAATTTATTTTTTCTTCGCAAAGATCTGAAAATTAACACCAATAAACCGGATATCGAGGGGTGAAAAAGCAATTAGGAGTGTTAGGTCATACGAGTGCGTGAGCGAGAATTTAATTTATATTTCAACGGTGGACATAAATTGATGGAAATCCTTCAATTGGATAGAATAGGGATAGATCCCGGGTTTTTATTTTTCTTCATTTGTTATTGTTCTTCTGCCTCCTTCGACCTTTTCTTGAAAAATGAGAATCTAAGACTGAAGTTTAAGTTCTTGTTGGTATAACGTTTTAGGAATGTTGTTCTATCTTGTTCGTTTCTGCATCGTATTTCCTAATCTGGATCTCACCTTTCATTTATCATGTATCCCAAATATTTAAATTTGCTGACCTGTTCGATATCTTCTCAATTTAAGTCTACTCCAGTGTTTGTGATATTGTTTCTGCTAACAAACAGTCAACTTATTTTTGTTGATATTTACCTCTAGACGCAGTCGTTGGCCCTCTTCATTAATGGGAATTTAGAATGCAATCACATTAGCTGCTAGTATGACAGTGTCATCTGCATATCGGATATTGGGCTATCCGAGATTGCCTCAACAATTGCTCTCTCCACGTATATATTAAGTAACATTGTCTGACTCAATTTTTTATTTCAGTTGACCGAGCATTTCCAATTCTTGCTTTTTAATTTCAGTGCAGATGGCTGATCAGCCTCATATGTTTCGCGATTCTGGAATAATATTTGGAGACTAAAAATGGCTTCTCAGGTTCGCTCCGAAACTCAAACTAATTACTTCCACTTATTAAGTAACCAAAATTAATGCGACGATAATCTTTCATGAGGTTGCAATCTTTGGGAAGATGTCTAGTGTAGTAAATATCATTGAACAGTTTTACTGTTGTGTCCAAGTTTTGCTCAACGAAGCGTCTTCGAGTAAATATTATCAGGTCCAAGAGCCTTGTTGTTTTTCAATAATTTCATAACATATATGATTTCGCTCTTCAATATGCTAGGTTGCGGTGGCGTGTCGTCCAGTCTATGTATGTTTATGTACTTTTTTATGTAAATGGTTAATATGCTCAGACCAGTTCAATTTCCTATAGAGGCGCTGAAGTTTATTTATATTTGTATTGGTTTAACTATTTTCCTTTTGTATGAAAAGTATTTATTTAGTCTTTTAGGCATTTTTATTTGTTTCCAAGTAACCAAGTCCCAAATCTGTACTTCTAATTTTGCTACCTATTTAATAAAAGCTTTGGTCCGTTTTACGTTCGACAATTTTGATTTTGAAATAGTTGTACGCTTTGATAACTTAGCCGATAAAAGGTCGAATTCCCGCCGCCTTAGATATATACAATCGAACTTCGATAACTCGAATTTTTGATAAATCGAACCAAATTGGTTGGCAATAGCGTCAAAAGTAGGAAATGCGTGTTAGTTTGTCTTGATTACTCGAACTTCGGTTACTCGAATATTTTGATAACTCAAACGAAACTTCGATAAGTCGAATTTTCTCGGGGAACCCCCTAATTACGACCGATCTTATCCTGTCTTTTTAACGTATCTATGCAAGTAGTTCAGTTTCTGTGCTTGCTAAGTTCACTTGTATGACTTACTAGTTAATACTAAGTGAAAAATACTGTCCCTATTCAATTTACACATTATATTAAAAATAAAGATGGGATTTCGGCAAGTACAGTGTCTACAATTTTGAAAAATAAACATTCAGTCATCACCGCAATGGAACGTTTCGAGGAAAACAAAAACAATAACATTACACTAATGGATTGTGTTGACGACGTAACTACCGCATGGAATATCGACGTTAAGCTTGAAACAATTTATAATTGTTTTAAAATAGCCGGTTTTGGTCAGTATTCTGAATGGGAAGAAGAAGATGAGATTCCCTTGATTTTCCTAAGTGAACGCCTGAAAGAAAAAAGTGAGAACGAAATCCAAATAGAAGTCGAGTTTAAAGCTTGGACAAACATTAGAGGTATAGCAGAAGGTAGCACCATCAACGATTTTATACATGTGGATGAGGATATTGTTACTTCAGAGTTTCCTACTGATGAAGATATTATCGAGTCCTGCAGATCCGAACAGTACAGTTAAACATCGAAGATGACTGCGAAAGTGACACGATGGAGGAGAAATTGGAAGATGATTCTCAGCAACAACCTTCAAATGAATTGGTTGAAAATTCGTTGTTTGTCTTGCGTTCCTATTTGAAAACCAGTGAATACGCAACCGATTCCCTCTATGATTGTTTAAATAAAATTGAAACTTTTGTTGAAAACTAAAATATGAAATCCGGTCGTCAGTCACAAATAACTGACTTTTTTCCAGTAAAAGAGTAAACTTTAATATGTACATACATATGTATGTATATTTGCATACATACTATGTTTATATATACTGGGTACACATACAATACATTTGTATGTACATATATTATGTAAATACATATGTACTACTGTTTCATAATTTTCGTTTTTTGTTCAAAAATCATAGATATTAGGGCATTTATGTAACGCATAACCCATTTTTAAAAATGAATGAATAAATGTTCATTCACAAAAAAGTACATGCATTTGTAGTTTTTATTGATAACTCGAAGTCTTGATAACTCGAAATTTTCATGTGTCAAATCGCAGTTCGACTTATCGAAGTTCGACTGTACTTTAGAAGAAAAGATATATACATTCCCTTTTTGGTTAATCAGAAATTATTCGTCGCATGCAATACTTACAATAAAACGGAAACTTTCAACCCATTGTTGCAGCGAAATTGGTCTGAGTGTGTTTGCCCATTAAATGAAACAGTATTCCCGTTCTATTTTTGGAAGACGCATCTTCAATAATACAATCGTTTGTAAAATATTGGCATGTTGACGTTTTAATTCGAAATCTTCAATTTTAGTCGAGCAGTGCTTGAGATGCAGTGGAGCGATGGCTTACACGAAATGGGTTACCCAAAGTGGCAGCTGGTAGTTTGTTTGGTGATGGTGTACAGCCTTCTATATGTATCATTGTTTAAAGGAGTAAAATCGTCAGGTATGTGACCGAGTTAAACAAATGGATGACACCAGCATAATGTTTTATTTCAGGCAAGGTAGTATGGGTGACGGCTACGATGCCTTACGTCGTTCTCACAATTCTGCTGATAAGAGGGCTGATGCTTCCGGGATCGTTAACTGGCATCTCTTATTATTTAAAACCAGAACTCAGTAAACTGAAAGAGACCCAGGTAATGTCGGCAGCGTAACATACTTTACCCGATAATACCACCCGCATCAAAAGTATTTTTGTAATTCTGCGCAGTTAGATAATAACATTGTAAGTTACTTTTATTATTGCGATCGCCTTCAAAGTTTGGTTGTTGCTCAGACCATTGCCGTATCAAAATTATTAGTCACTGTAAAGTTTCGCTAAAGTTTTTACAATTTTCGAGAGAATGTTACGTTGCTAACTTTACAAAGTAGGAATGTAAACATCTCCGGTCCCCGTAAACAGTCTTCGCAAACAACTTTTAACTCGAAGCTTATCTTCGGGTGCAATAAACTTAGGGGTTGTCACGGCCGTGTGGTCGACTACCTATTAAAGCATAGTTTAAGTTTTATACAATAATGAGTGCGGTAATTGCATCTAATCGATCTAAATTCTGCTATACGGAGAATTATCAAATCAAATAAAAAATATGATCTAAAAGAAACATTCTTTGTTCTTGTAGGTGTGGGTAGATGCCGCCGTTCAGATATTTTACTCCGTGGGAGCGGGATTTGGGGTCCATCTCTCCTACGCCAGCTACAACACCTTTCATAATAATTGCTACAGGTATTTACACACGAGAGAGCAATGTTTGTGGCCGTCTAAAAGAGGAATCTTTTTAGGGACTGCATAATCACAACGATCGTTAATTGCTTCACCAGCTTTTTCTCAGGCTTCGTGATTTTTACATATTTGGGATACATGTCTCACAAACAGGGAGTCGACATAAAATATGTGGCCACGGAAGGTAAATTTTTTGCTAAACTTAATTAGTGGCTTAACTAAAGGAAAAAAATCGAGAGAGGGATTTATAAAAAACAAATTGTAAAATGCCAATATTTAAGATATTTTGCACAGACTATTTTAATTTTATAAAATTTATTTATTTTCTTCATAGTTTCTTTAAATCTTTCTAAATATAAAATGAAATGTTTATCTGAATTATTCATAATAAGAGTAGTTGTTTAATTTCACGATATAGTTTTTTTTTCAGAAATAGAATACTTAGTGTGTTACGTTATTTCTTAACGAGAATGCACAATTAGTTACAAATTTTGAAACTTATACAGTAAAAAAAGACATTCGGTATAATTATAGTCTCGAAAATTACGAAAATTCATTAAACCTATGTATTCTGCAAACTGATCAAATTACCGGGCATTATACAAAATCACTACTGTTTTGAATTCTGAGGACTAAGTAAAGTTAAAATATTTTTGACATTAACTAGACAATCTGATCGTAAATAAAAAAACATTTTTACACATATTTTTCTTAAATCCAATCAAAAATTGCATTCGTTAGCAGAACTGTTATATAACAAATATATAGAAATACACAAATTAGATAAACCTGACTTGATACCAACGTAAACATAAACTTAACCTAAAATTGCACATACCGTTTTTTAATAAGCAGTATTCGAAAAGACGTTAACAAGGTATAAGCAAGTCTCTGGTTGGTTTTGGTTATTTGGAGTTGCGTTGCGTTGATAGAATGATAGGAGGCAGGTGAAGGTACAACTTGGTAACAATGGATTACAGACAAACATTTAACTTCTTCTAGTATTTGTTTTTATCTGCTACTTTCACTCTCAGAATATTAAGGATGTTTTTCTTTTTATAGTTCTTATTACTGCATTTAATTTCTCTAAAAATATTTCTTTCTTTCCGGTGGCCATTGTGATTCACAAACCGTCTCATAAACCTCTACAGAATGGCTCACAATATCTATTCAATGTAGAAAATAAACAATTTTAATCTTCAGATTGACTAACGCACCAGACATTTTGCCGATTGCGTAAAACAGCCTAGTCATTACCATAAATTATAGTGATCTTGCACATTGCCCGGTAAAAAAAGTTTGCAAAATACCTAGACATTTCGCCCATTGATGGTTTTTGTATTATGCTGGTTACATATATAAACAATGAACGGCTAAAATATGGAAGAAATTCATTGGTTCATTCATTACGTAAACCGAAAATATATAGCTTCATATTCATGTAGCTTTACCTATACCTTTATCTTAGTTTATATAAGCAAAGCGTGTAATAAAGAAAAGACTTGAACCCAGCCACGTTTTGTTTTAATGGTACGGTAAATAAACAAAATTGTAGGTGCACTACAAATAATCCCCGAAAAAATAAATGTTTGGGCAGAGAGTTTGATTAACAAAATTATTGTGCCTTGTTTCCTCAATCAAAATCTTACTAGAGCACGGTTTTAACAATTTCTTCAAAATAACTTAATTCTTACTATCGCAGTTTCTTTGGCTCTATTTTGTTCAAGTGCGTGAATATTTAAATCTGGTATTTCCCGGATAGCGAAGTGGTAGGAGGGGACCAATAGAATGACCTGCAAGATCTCCAGATATTACTATACAGAATTTATTGTGTAAAATCAAAAAGGTACTAGGAAAATTCACAAAATTTAATTGATTTAAAATTTGGAGTTAGATACGAAATAAGGCAAATATTCTGAGGAAGGTTATGGAAGGGATTTTAAGCCTATTAACATATTGCGAGAAAGTTAATAGTTGGCACTTTCAATATCTAATAAAATAATTTCTTTGACTAACGTATGTGTGCACTTGCAGGCCCTGGACTGGTATTTCAGGTGTACCCCGAAGCTGTGGCGACGTTACCCGGTTCTCACTTATGGTCGGTTCTGTTTTTTTTTATGCTGATCATGCTGGGGGTCGATTCTGCCGTGCGTATACCAGTTTCCGCTTTTCATAGTAATAACAACGACGTCTATTTTAGATGGGTGGTTTAGAATGCGTAATCACCGGCCTAATGGATGAGTTTTCCGTGTTTTTCCGACAGCGTAAGTTCACGAGGGAAATTTTCACTTTTATCGTTATTATGATGTCGTTTTCGGTGGCGATGATCAATGTTACCCCTGTGAGTAGTCGTGGGACATCGAATACGGCTTGATGGCTTCAAATTTAAACGTTTCAGGGAGGAATTTACATGTTTCATTTGTTCGACACTTACTCGGCCGGAATTTCCCTTCTCTGTTCAGCTCTATTCGAAGCTATAGCTGTTTCTTGGTTCTATGGTAAGGTGCAACTTCTTGAAATCTATATATTATTTTAAGAATATTTTAGGATTAGACAGGTTAACCCAGGACGTTGAAGCAATGTTGGGAATTAAGCCAGGACTGTACTGGAGGGTGTGTTGGAAATTTATTAGTCCTAGCTTTATAGTGGTAAGTGAGGAAAGTCGATTCATGTATATGATACACAATGTAATATGATCTTTGACAGTGCGTTGTAATGTTCGGTTTATTATACCATCAACCCCTACAGTACAACGACTACTCTTATCCCAATTGGGCAGAGTGGGTTGGATGGTCTTTAGCACTATCCTCAATCCTCATGATTCCCATGGGAGCAGTCATACAATTGTGTAAAGCTAGTGGATCGTTAAAAGAGGCGGGTGGACACAATTGTAATTTGTAAATCTGTTATTAAATATCTGCCTTTTTCAGAGGATAGCTATATGCATTTCACCAGTTGAAGAGCACGGGGATATCAGGAAAAACAAACTTATAAAAAGATTTAAGGCCAAGCACTGGTTTTACGTGTAAGTGCAGATCCATGGAATAATCAGACCCTTTATTACGCTAGTCGTATACTTGAGAAAGGGTTTTACCGAATTTTGTAATATAAATAGAAAACCATGTAAATGTGAAATAAGGTAAAATTTTCCATTGTATGTCAAAATAGTACGGTCGTTATAGTGATGTACAAATACTGATTAAATTTCGAGATAGCAAATTATACTTCTATAGATGTGGAAGGATCAGAAACTGATACAAGGTGGCTAGTCCAATTGCTTTTTATATAAAATTTCCCCCAGTTAGTTGGACAGTAGTTTTGACCACTTTTTAGTCGTATATGATATATATTTGTTGAAAACTAGGATTGTCCATGTCTGTATAAATTATTTGACAAGGTAAAAGAGATTGTATATATAATATTATAAAATCGTAAAATATTTAACAGCATTGCCTTCGATGTTAAATATTTCAGCGAGAGTTTTGTAATTTTCATCAAATTTGTATTCTTTTATCAGGAGAGTTTAACGAGTAAACGTATTTTAGAAATCCCTGGTGTTTTGTTCCCCTCGATGTTCCAGCAAAAGTTACGAAAGATGGGATACTCGCGTTTGCGTCGATCATATATTTTAAGTATTTTTAGAAATCATAATACATGTATAAAATACACTTATACAAAATAACGTAACAGCGTCATAGTAATATCATAGATTGACAATTTGAAAATAAAGTCCCACGAATAGCGTAACAGACCAAGACAACATTATTTTTATAGCTATGCTCCCGAAAATTTGTGACAAATGATCAATTTGGAAGTACGGAAAGATAGACGGGAACTGGTAAATTGGTATGATCCTCCATGGAAAAATTAATTTAAAACTTCTTTTTCAAGTCATTTCTGGCATGACTAGAATTGCTTTAATGGGTTATAAGACGATTGACTCTGTGTGAACTACATTTAAAGATGGTGGAAATCATTGGTAAATTGAGTCATTTTTCAGTCCCTTGAATGGAAAACATGATAAATAAATAAAAATCCTTGTTTAACTAAAAAAGTAAATAGGTAGAAGAGCTCCACACAACTGAAAAAATGAATATCAACATCTTATGAAACAACTAAATTTGATTGAGTTTTTTACAATACGATACGCACCTTTTCGCTGCATATTTCGTTTGTTTTTTGTTGGAGACTATTATACAATTACAAAAATACAGTGATAAGAACGAAAAGAAGTCAGAACTTGAAACCAAAGCAAGAATCATTACCTACAGGTGTGTAGTTTTATAAATAATATAAAATAGTATTCATCTGTCTCTTATTAATTGCCACCGCTTTCCGTGGTATACTAATGCGCTCTATTAAAACTACAGAAACCAGATATACTAAAGTAGTGGATGATGGTTTCTAGCCGTTCGACCGAATTTTAATCCATTTTAACCAAGATTTCATATATGCTGTTTTAATGGAAGACGCAAATTGTACGATGTCTGTTCAAAAAGTAAAGTGACTTTTGTAATTGAGCGGGCTACGTATCTTCTTATTTTGTTACGTTGGTGCACATGTCCCATATGTTCACAGTTTCAACCAGTTTGCACGTTTACTTTATTTTGTGAAACAGAAGCGTTTTCTGCTGTAAAAAAATTGAACAAAGAATTTGCATAAAATTTTCTGTAAAAAATGGACTACAGTATAGAAAAATAATGGAAATGTTGGAAACGACATATGGTGAATCTACTCTTAGAAAAAAAAAATGTTTATAAGTTTGTTTGTTATATAGTTGTACCAAGATGGCCGAGAAAACGCCCATAAAGAACCGCGGTCTGGACGCCTCAGCACATAAATAACTGATGAAAGCGTTGAAGAAGCGAAACAAATGGTGTTGAAAAATCGTCGAATCATTATTAGAGAAGTGGCTAATGACGTCGGCATCTCTATTGCCCAATGGCATGCATTTTTTTCTTAAGCTTTGGGCATGAAACGTGTACCACCAAAATTTGTTCCGAAACTGCTTAATTTTGAAGAAAAGGACCGTCGAAGGAGCATGGCTCAAGAGACGTCAATAATGATCCTGATATATTCAAAAAGGTCATAACTGGTGACGAATGACGTTGAAACCAAAGCCCCGTCATCCCAATGGTAGAACCCAGAATCACCAAGACCGAAAAAAGCAAGTTCGATCAAATGTCAAGGTTTTGCTTACTGTTTTCTTTGATTACCGTGGCGAAGTACATCAAGAGTTCTTACCACAAGATCGTACGGGCAATAAAGTATTATTTTAAAGTTATGCACCGTTTGCAAGAAGCAATACGAAGAAAACGTCCGGAATTTCGTAGCTTGTGTCTAGCTTTTTGGCCAAAAACAAAACCACCATCATGCCTCAGCCACAGGATATGGCCCCTTGCGACTTTTTCCTGTTTCCAAAACTCAAGAAACCCATGAAGGGAAGGGGGTTTGGAGCGACTGGGGAGATAAAGAAAAAATCGCTGGAAGAACTCAAGGCTGTACAAGAAAGTGCTTACCAGAAGTGCGCCGACGATTGCAAAAAACGTTGACGTAAGTGTATTTTACCTGGGCGGGATTATTTTGAAGGGGAGAACATTAATTTTGATAAATAAATAAATACTTTTTGGTAAAACTTAAAAGTCACCTTACTTTTTGAACACACCTCGAATGTCGTAGCTCTCTCTAAGTTTCTAAGAAAAATGTTGCGAAATATATAGCGAAAACGTGTATATCGCATATGGTCCACGGATAGGCACACCGGATCTTGGAGACTATGCAGTTGTACCGTAGAAGTGTCGAGGATGTAGTATTGTAACTTGTAAGTGGGATGGAACATGGATAGTGCAACTGAGCTTTCTCCATGCAGTCCATGAGCTATTCAGTGAATACTTTAACCATATAACATTCAGTATCAGTGCTGCAGGTAAAAATTATTTCAGCACTGCGCGACACATATTCTACATGAAACATCATGTAAACATCAGCTTACTGGAAACACACTGAGAGTGAGGCGGATTGGTAGTCACATCCTCACGCCCCTTCAACAGTTTTTTGGTCAGAACAACTCTTTTTTTCTTGAGCAGTGCTGAGGAAGACAGACCAATCTTTCCGCAGAACTTTTGAAACAACCATAAAAGTGGGCTATTTTCCTAGCAAAGCTGTTGTCGGAAAACGATCTCTTAGTACAAGATGTCATACTCAATGTCAGCATTTCGATCGTGAAGTCCCGCCTCCACTATCGGGGTCTGATGAGGACCAAAAATTTTCATCTTTGCTCTTTATTTAATAGTAGCATTGCAATAAGACTCGAATATAACACTCAACTTCTTGTTTTCATAAGCTGCATATGGGTTCGACCACCATCCTTAAATATAGAACCCACAGTTATTGAATCTGATAATATTTTGATGCCATAACCACCGAATATCTAATCCCTTTCAATAAAAACTCGTTAACAAATTGATTAATCCCCGCATTTAGTTATTGTCCAATGATTTATTAATTGATTGATTAATGATTGAACTAATATTCATGAAATATTTAAACATTAGTCACAAAATTTCTTGACATAAATGTGCACACGAACTCGATAATTTTACAGACTCCCTAAAGGTTATATATCAACGGTCAACCATTTATCGGTTTCGAATATCAACAAATTACAGTCAGTCGAAGTTTAGGCCCGAAAACGTCAACAGGTAAATCAACAAATACGTACAGACACAGACTTATTCTAGACGCGAGATTTATAAGCTCTGCAGTTCAGTATCAGTTCGGTTCAATTTAGTACAGCACATTGTAGTGCCAACCTCGCCGTTTTCGCCAAGCTGACCAACTTAAGTTGACGCAAGCAAAATTGATAGTAATTCATAGTACTCCTGATTACCAACCTACAGGGCGATATTTGTAAATGTTGCATTAACAGGAACCCCTTGTATCTCAGTTGTCTGACAGCAAATTGGGAAATCTGAATCTGAATCCAATTAGCATGTATAACAATAAATTGTGTATTCAGGTTTTGGCTAGGAATTATTGTTTTTTTGAATATTGATCAATCATTTTTATGAAGTGATAAATTTGTCAGGTTAAAATAAGCCTAACGTTAAAGCTCAGAAAAGGAAAACAGAAATAAAGAACGAAGGATAGGACAACTTTGCAGTTTTTCGCGTATTAAAGATTAAAATTGTGACATTATAGGACTCATATCATCGAACACGCCGATAAATTGTTACAAAGTACATAACTTACAAAGCGCAGGAGATACTAAAAGGAGTCTACCTGCTTAAAATCTTGATAATTAATTTTGAAATAACCAGCATTTTTGAAGAAATTGTTTTTTTACAATATTGCCAAAAATATATTAACAATACGGGTCTATCTTAACAACCAATGACATAAATTCTAACATTCGGAGTTCTTCAAAAAGTAGCAGTAGACTATGCAATAGCATTTATAGGTATGTATAGCTTTGAGGAATTAAGCAAAATAATGGTATAATATTCACCTATAGCTCTACAATTTTAGATATATTTCAATCAAATAGGTAAAATTTTAAATATATTATTAATATGAAGACAAGACATACTCAGACCAAACATAGACCTAAAAATTAAACGCTTATAATAAACATATGCACAAATAAACCAAACAGAATTCAAGATTTTCATTTCATAATAAAAAATGAGTTTTAACGTTAAGAACGTTTGAAAATTCGGTTTTCCGCCATAATATTAAATGTACTTAACATCTACAGAATGAATAAGTAAAAAAAACCTAGAAATATTTAAAAATAAATCACAATATTTAAAATTATAAATCAAGCAATAGCATGGCATTTAAGAAGAAGATCAAATGTAATTTTTAGATTATTTTCTTCTGAGGAAGGTCACTTTTGGACCGAAACGTCAAATAAAAAATGTAGTATTCTAATTTTGTCAGTTCTATAACTAGACCTGCATCCCAAGAAACCAAATATATGCATATATATAAATAGATTTTATGGTCCAAGAAGAAAAAAAAATTGAAAAGTTATATAAATAAATAAGTATATATATATATATATATATATATATATATATATATATATATATATATATATATATATATATATATATATATATATATATATATATATATATATATATATATATATATATGTGATATGATCACTGTTGTATCACAGCAACAGTGACCGTAATAATCTAACATGTAAAACGAACCATAGTTTAGTATTTGATTTTACCGCTTACCATGGCAAAAATAAATTGTCAGACCACTGAAATATAAGACGAACCTATTTTCAATATCCTCTTGTAGCCAGGAGACTAAGCGTGTTACGCAAATTTTGTTTAATGCATTGTTTTATACCACGCGATCCTAGCTCTTACTTTTTGTTTCTTTGGACTCGAGAATTCATAGAATTTTAGGTTACATTTTCGCAATCCCGTTCTCGCAATATTGGACTTTATAAATGGGCGTTTCGAAATTAGGGAATGAATGGTGGCGCAACTGCAAAGCTTAAAAAATCAGCGTAAGTATAGTATCCACCGATGATTAGGGCTCCCGCTTCGCTAAGTTCGTAACACAACTCGAGTTTTAAATAATCACAGATTTTCCGTCATCGACCCTGTTTGTGGAAGCACCAGAAATCCTTTCATTGTCGACCGATCAAAGGAAGCTACGAACTTACGATCGCGCCCTTACAAGTATAATTTTAGAAAATCACGGTCTAGGAAAATAACAAACTATACAAGAATATCGTTATACAGTAAACGAATTGGTTTGGTCACTGTTTCAATGTTCATCCTTATAAAATTTATCACATTTACGCGTATTATTATTTAAATACATTTCGATAGTTTTTCACAATAAGTTTCATATATCGACAGTCTTCTTATACACAGATAACAAGATTTTTTTCTTCGCTAGTTTTCGGGAAAAGTAAAGTTTCGTTTTCCGTAATTTACATTATTGTTTCCAATTGTTAAAATCTTACACATAACGATTTTCAAAGTGTTTTGGAGATACTATAAAGGTAACTGGTAACTGGTCCAAAAAATAAGGGGCCTAAATTTGTTTGATTAATGTACCTACTATGAGTATTGGCAAACTGAATTTTATACATAAACGGTGGCCTAACAGACTGAAAAGACACAATGTCTCGCTTATTTAGCCCAATTTTCAAAAGTTGTTTTAACGAGTCTGGATGAAACTGAAAGACAAGCGACTTGCTTAGAAGCGTAGTGGTGCAAGCGCAAAACTTTTAAGACATATGCAATTAAAAAAGAAAGCACAATGTTAAACCATTTCCTCTGTTTAATATTTACCACTTTATTTATTACTAAACTGTAGATAGTGAAATACGTACAGTACAATCTATACGTCTTATGGTAGAAAATATATTGACCAAAACTATTTTCATTTTTAATGAACAGTTCACTTGGGTATCTTATTCATCCGTTTCCAGGCCAATATCATCATCTTCAGTAATTTGTGGATGACCTAAACATCTTTCTGGATATCACCAACCAGAATTATTGAAAGAGGTTATAAAACGCATTACTCATGGTAAATCAATGGTGCTGTGATAACTCTCTAAAACTTAATATTGCTAAATGCAAAGTTCTATCTTTTTATTGAATTATTAGTTGTTGTTCAACTATACACTTAACGATGTCTCCTTGGAGAGGTGTGAGAGATCTGGGTGTTGTGTTTGACACCAACTTTACAAATTACTGGAAAGCTGTGCTAAAGATTGGAAAGGTCTGTCCAACTTGTTTACACAAAGGAGTGAACTAGATTCTAACCTACAGGCACTTTTAAAGTGTTCAGATTTCATTTTTAGCATTTGAAATTTGTTAGTTTCCTTGGCAATCAAAATAACTTTCACGCAGGCAAAAAAATGTCCTGGTAGAATCAATTTTGTTTTCCGATCAGTTCAAAGTCTCTGTGGCACGGCGAGTACGAGTGGCTGGAAGCAAAAAGGGAAAAAATCATTGGAAACCATCGCGTATGTACAAATTGATGCAACTTTTATATTGCCATTTTGACTCCCGCATTGGTCGCTGTATAAAATCAATGTTGATGTTTTTGCAAGGATCTGTCTCAATCTCATGCCATGCGTGCTTTACCTGGGCTTAGATTGTGGATGCCCAACACGCGTAGAAACACTAAGTGTTGCTAAGTTCATCATCTTCCTTCAAGCCATCTCGAGCCGCATCTGCCATCGGTGTTTCTCCTTTAGCTGTAATTTTTCATCGCCTTCAGAGTTTTTTATTTTCAACATACATATAATAAAATAAATAATAAAATGAAAAAAAGTACAAGACTGACCTAAATGCCCAACTACTTCTTCTTTCCACCTCATTGGCAGTCCTCCTCTAGATATTTTTTCGACTGATATATTGTTCTTTATATATTTTGGCACTCTATAGTCGTTCATTTTGTTTACGTGTTTATTCCAGAACTTTCTTATTCTAACCTATTTTTGTCATATCTAGGAGTCCACTTTTTCCCTCCGTTGTATTTTTCCTAACATGGACCTAACAGTTTTCATTTCCATTATGCCCATGATTTGATTTAAATACTCCTCCGTATAATTACTTCAAGGCATCCAGAAATACGAAAACGATTCATGATTGTGCTTTTCAAATTTCCATCGCTCCTTAAATCTATCCTCTTAATCAGCGTCATCCACATAGCACACTATATGAAAATGGATTTCTCTCATTCTATATCGTAATGTCTTTGACAGCATTTATGTAATTATAATTACTACATTGACAAAGTATGGCTTAGTTAGTAACTGTCCTACTCTTAAGTTGGTTCAACAGTTAATTATAATTATATCCACAAAGGAAACATAGGCGGGAGTTTTAGCATGACGATTGCATCAGTAGTGGAGCAGTTTTTCCCACAAATTAATGTTTCTTTCTTAATTGAATGTTTTTTTCTCTTTCTTTAGTCAACACTTTTGTAAAACTTTCAAATGTGCTATTTAATGGTGTGCCAACCAGTCTTCTGAGGACCTTTGTAGCCCTTTTTTTAATATGAGAATTGTTATGATGGTTTTTCAATAATTGGGAATTTTTCAGCCAGTTGAAGAGTGCTGCTATTCCTTTTCGTAGTCTTTCCGCCAATACTTTAGTATTTTATTTGTGATTTCATCGCGCCCAGCGCTTTTGCGATTTTTAATGGATATTGAAATACTTCTTACTGTTTCCTTATTTATGTCAAAGTTGTGTTGTTCTCCGTTGTAGAGTATTTGTTGCGCCTCCCCTCTGCAGGTTTTCAAAATGCCTTTTCCACTCTTGTTTCTCCATAGCTATACAGCTTTATTTAGGTTCGTTTCTCTGATTAGAGCTCAGAGCTTTGATAAGAGTCCTCTGGTTCAGTTGCGTCCTGTAATTGCAAATGCACTATGAAAGGGTCTGCCATATTGGCATATTATATGTTCTTCTGATTCCTTCTCTTCCTGAAAGAATTTGAATTGAGTGTATTCCTACAGTCCCACAAGGCTTAGACGTCTCACCTCATTATTCTTCTGATCCTTATTTTGTAACAGGTCTGTCTTTATCCTATCATCTCTGTTAACCCCTGCCGCGATTTTCTTTCCATTCATTTTTTGATGGCTGATCCATCAACAGATTTTGTAGGAATCATAATATTTAAATATATATAGAGGATTCCATTAAAAAATATATTTTTGTATTGCCAAGCTCGTATAATTGAAAATGTATGTTTTTCGACAATATGCCTTCTACTTCTTAAGGTGCTTATTCGTTTCGAATGTTGGCTATTAGCATGGCTATTCTAATCTTGTCGACTGTTGCTTTGAAAAGTCCTGTGGTTGTAAGAGAGAACCATTTTCTCAGATTGTGGAGCCATGAGATTCTCCTCCGTCCTGGACCTCTTTTTCCAAAGACCTCACCCTGCAGAATAAGCTGCAACAGACCATATCGCTGTTCGCATAATGTGGCCTAAGTACTCCAGTCTCCGCTGCTTTACGATGTTTAAGATTTCGCATTCCTTGTCCATTCTGCGAAGAATCTCATCGTTGGTGGTTCTATCAACCCCACAATAAGCCAAATTCGTTAAAACATTTTTCCGAAATTGTGCTAAAGGAGTTAGTGCTTTACCCTGTAGGCTGTACTGTCTATCATTGTTCTGGTATGTCTTTCCATTGCTGCAGCGATTCTCTTTTCATTCATTTTTTGATGGCTGATTTATCAACAGATTTATCAAAAATATATAGAGGATTTCATTAAAAAAATTATATTTCTCTATTGCCAAGCTTTTCCACGACACCTCCTCTAATTGAAAATATTTTGAAAATGTATGTTTTTCGATACTCGTTAAAACAATTTTCTGAAAAGGAGTTATTGGTTTACCCAGTACAACTTCTTTCATTGGGAATTCCTCTTGCTTTTTCAAAGATTTGCAATTGTGCTCCAAATAATTCCATTTTTCAATCTTGAAACAAAATTTTAATTAGCTATTGTTGTTTAAAAAATAACGTAAGTAACGCAAAAATTTTTAGAAAAGTGAAGAAAACGTAAATTGCCTAATCGTCGCAGTTAAAACTACAAAAACGATCCTCTTTGAAAAAACGAAACTCTAGAAACCAAAAACCCGATTATGAACTACGTACTACACACAGTTCATTATAACAATTATAAAACTGAGCTAACGTCTTCCTTTTCTTTTTCCTTCTTGTCGTCCTTCTCTTTCTTCTTCGATTTCTTCCTTCGCTTGGAATCTCTGGTTTTCGGAGATCGCTCCAATAGAAACAAGGCTTCGTGAAAATCGTCTGAGCTAAGATTCGACTCCTGCACATGTAGGACCGAACTTAGCGCGCCATCGGTTGAAGATTTTGGAAATCTACAATTTAAGAAGTTATACCAGAATATCGACTCATCTACTAAAATCTTACCTAAATATCTCTCTTTCCCTTTCTGGTTCGCTGGCGCTTTTCGATTTTCCATCGTCTTTAAGCGATTTCGACGGACTACCATGGGGCGTTGTTAGATTCGACCTGGAGGTAGATGGAGTGGTGGATCGTACCAGTGACGGCGTAAACGGCTCGGGAGGTAAGGTGGTGCTGTTGTTACAGGTGTTCAAGCTGCTGCTCGATACGCTGAGAGAGCACGAATTCAACGGGACAGGAACGCTTAAACTCGATGAGCGAGATTGCCTCCCGCCATTATTCTGGGATAAACTGAAACCTAAAATGAGCGACGTTAGAATTCCGTTAGTAGGCTACAAATTCTTATACCTGGAGTTTTGGGTTCCGGAGTACGCGATATCGAAACCCCTGAAATAAACAGCGTGGGCGATTTGGGGATGCCAGTCTCGCTCTCGTATTCATTCGAGCTGTCAGTCTCCAATCCCTTACCGCCTTTTAAATGCTGCGGACTATTGCAGATTTTGATCCTAAGATGAGAAGATAAGCCTAAAAAGAACACCAGCGTTGAACCCAAATTCATTAAAATCATATATGAAATGGAACTTCACCTTTATCATTTCTTTTCTTGTCGTCAACCAAAAATCCTGTGGACTTCGAACAATTGCTTTGCTTGGAATTTTGGCGTTTATTCGGGCTGTGCTTCTCACATCTACATTCGCTCTCGGCACATCTTTTGGAGGTCTCTTCCTTTTTGCTATTCCATTCACGGTCGTGTGGTTGCGATTTTTCATCATCATTTATTAATTCTGGTGAGAACATATTAGAGTACGAGACATGATGCAACAGTGAACACCTCACCTATACTTTTATTAACTGCAATTCTGGTTAGGTAACTGGATTTTGGTAAATGAGCAGAACAGAATTTTGCCTTAAGACTAGCAAACGGATTGTGGCTGTGTTTCTTAAACTCGCTTTCTTTGGCTATTGGGTCAGTCTTTTTGATTTCCTCGTCGTAAGTCTTATTTCCTAGAAACGTTATTTTGAGTTTGCAAATTTAAGCTAGATTCAAGGTGTTATTAAAATGACATAATTTAATCTAATAAGGGAATGTAGACTCCCGCCCTGACGCCCAATATTTTGTTTCAAACCGGATATCGATACCTATCAAACAAACCAACGTGGGCAAATCAACATCAGGTGCAAAACCTATTTAGTATATTTTCCTGGTAATTGGTACACAGATAAGAATTAATTAGTAACAAGAAACAAAGCAAAACTCAGGTTATAGCATATTTCATAGTTATAGCATATTTCATGACTGACCTCATGTAATTGAGTTAGGTATCCATAATGTATCCCATAAAAAAATCTAGCAAATGAACAGTGGTAGTTACTCAATAACAAAACTATCAAATAATAGCATAATATATACTAAGTGACAAAAATAACAATACTCTGGACATCGCCCCACACCTAATTGCATAGCTCTTTATATTTATGGATTTTAGTTAGTGCAAATCTGTCTAATAAATAACATTAAACGATCTTTGTCTAGGTGTTTAAAAACATACAATTTAACCTAAATTCAAAACAGGAGAGCACTAATAAGTGTAAAAGTGCCAGTGGAGAACTAAAAATTAATTGTACATTTTTTCAAGCGATACTTGCCGCGCCATCTACATTCTAAAGGGCGAATAATCAGGTGTTTTGCTGAGAGATTCAGACTCTGAAAACTAAGGAATTATTTAACGATGATATTTTGGCTAGGTAATGATGTGATAATGAATTGAGGTATAGACCAGTTTTTATTTTCTAATTGGTTACTGAACTAGTGAAATTGTGAATTTGTTAACAAAACTATTTGCTACATATCTTTTGAAAGCACAAGTACTCTGGTACCCATGAGAACAGCATTTTTTTTTAATATTACGTTGAGTCTAGAAGACAGAGAGTTTACTTTAATGGCAAATATTCAGACTTTGAAGTACTTGGTAGGGGAAATCAACAAGCTAATATCTTGGACCTTCTAATTTTTTCTCTTTGCACAGTCAATTTTACAGCTTTTTTAAACTTGTGTAACTGTCATCACTTTGCTGATGACCAGCGATTATATAATTTCTTTCCTTCGTTGAAGTCGATCTCACTATCGTTAATTTTATATCTTTAATCTGTTAATAAACCATTGAAATTCCATGGTTTGAAACTAAACAGTAGCAAGACAGAATTGTTGGACTTTGGGTCTGATAGAACTCAATTAATTGATAACAATTTTAATATTTGAACTGAAAATTTCCGCTTAAAATTGTCTGACTTCGCCTATGTATGGATTCGGGTTTTGGATTCTCGCATCACGGCTCGATTTTAAGTCCTATATATACATTAGAATGCTTTGAGTAAAGAAGTCAAACTTAGACAGCGTGATATTGTCTGGCATAGTTTTTTGACCGACTCTGCGCCAAATTGATAGAAGTAGCTTGTAAGAGTTTCAGAACTGATGTCCACGGTTCTGTTACAACATATGTAAATACCACCACATTCCCGATTGTTTCAATGTGTCAACTTGGTTGAATCTCCGTCAAAGATTTGAAGTTCAGATTGGGTGGTTAGCTTATAAATTTAATAAAACGGGCACTAATGAACATGTGTCGTAAAAACTTATTAAGTCCGGCTATGTTCTCTACTTCACAGTATACCTAAGAATGATATTTTCGTTTTAGCTACAATGCCACAAAAGTGTTTAATAAAATGGCTAGTAATATTAGAGGAGAGAGGGGACATATTTAGTTAAAAAATATACATAAGCATAGAAGATCTAAGTTGAGTAGAATATTTTCACAATGGAACTGAGTTGTTTATTTTTCTCTGTTGTATATTCTTTGATTCTGATTTTTCATTGTATATCTATAATATTGTCTTTCTGTATTTTCTGGGTTGCACCTACTAATTTTAATGTAACTTATCTCATAACCATATCTTTTTTATCTCTTTTTTACTTACTTATTTACTCACTATGTTTATGTCTTAATGAGGTAGTTATACGGACCAGCGTGTTTTACGAACATTGCTACCTTTGTACTTTCATGTGTAAGTAACAAAAATCAATGCACTTTATTATTATTATGTGATCACGCGAAGTAAAAAATATTACCTAAATCTTCATCGGTAACGGAATTTAAAATGCCGCAAATTTCCAAGTCAGCATTCATCGAATCGGACGTTGTGGTATCCTCGATGGAACTCTGTCTCTGGATCGACTCTTCCTCTGGATGAGCGTGCTGCATTAAAAGAAACTGTTTTGTACGTATCGATGTAGATGGCAGTGCTAAAAATCTAAAAATGGGTAACATTAAATATTCTTTTTCTATGTAACATGAATTATTAATACCTTCTGACCATATCTTCGGGCTTCTCGTCGTGCTGACTGCTATGGTCTGAATCAAGATGATACCTAGGTTCGTCGCTTCCATTCATCCTCATTTTTGCCCCTCTCCGATTACGTCGAGTCACGAGATCTCCAGTGGAGTGGCATCGTTTGAGCACTGATGTGTCGTCGTATTCCTCGTCGCCAAATAAAAATCCGTTTTCGTGAATATCTGATATCTTAAACCGACCATCTTCGTAACCTTTACAGGGTCGGAACAGAATATCCTTCTCGGGGTCGCCAAATCTGTCCAACGCTTGCAAGTCGATCTTATGGTTGGCTAAAGACTTCAGGAAATAATCCACTGTTATGTCTGCGTTGCTCTTCTGGTAATCTAAAACGGCAAGCTAAGGTGCTGTTCGAAACTCGAGGGAAAAAATTGTATAGTAGCGCCAGTTCTAAGTTATGTTTGGCAGAAAAAGTGAATTGTCGTGAATGTTCGAGTGTGTTCGGATTGGCGCGCGAGCTGAGCCAGGCCAGCGAAGTTGAGTGAGTGGCGCGAGCAAGGATTCTGCAGACAGTGAAGACAAATTCGACGTCAGTGCATAAGGCAGCAGGGCTGTTGAAGACGTTTAAGAGTAATTACGTGAAGTTACAGAATGAGGGGGTAAAGGAGTCAGAGGATAAAGGCTGAACTACAAGACATAGACGATGAAATAAAGTGATTGACCAAAAGACGTGCTTGGGTAGTTACTTTAAGTAAACAGACCGAAAAAGAAACTCATTAATTAAAAATGTTATAGCAGATTGTGGATAGGATAGTATATGGATACGTATATAGGAATATTTTTACAGAGGGTCCCGAAGTTAAGGTTCAATTAAGAAAATAAGCCCTAGTTTTCCATATAAACAACAAACGCCCCGTATTGGAGCCGCATGTCCTAAAAAAATTGACCTAAAAATGTTTTTTTATCAATATTTACGAAACAGGTTTGCGAAAAAGTTTTCAAATTTTACCGTTTTAGTAACTTTGGTATTCTGAATCTGATTTTAAAATTATAAATATAAAATTCTAGTCAGGAAGGTAACCAAATCAAACCAACTTTCTTGTGACTTGATTTGAAGAATTTTTTCTTATAAAATTGGAAAAAATGTGTTTTGTTATTTAAAAATCTTCGGGATCCCTCCTGCGTCAATTGTTGATCAACCATATCCGCTGACGTTTCGCCAATCATTGTGTTGACTTCTTCAGAGCTTAACTGAAACTGAACTGAAATTGACAAAAAAAACTTTTCTGTTTCAGTTCAGTTCAATTTTAGTTATGCTCCTAAGAAGCCAACCGGATGATTGACGAAAGGTCAGCGGGTTCGATTTGTCAGCAACCTACGAAGGAGGAATTCAGAACATGCGCACTTGATTCGTATCGGTTGGATGGACGGTTTTCAAAGAAAATCTTATATATTTTTGTCTACATTGTGTATGAACGTTTTTTATTCAGTTTTTTATAAGTATGGAGCATTTTTTAAACAGAGATTTAGCGGATATTCATTTATGGCTACTGTTATGACATTGGTAACACGCATACCGCTATACGAGACTTCGAAAGATGGTTTTCACAAAAAAGACAACGATATCGGAGAGTATTTTCTAACATATATAAAAATACAGCAGAACGTGAATCGCTTAGTAGATCTCAGAGGCAAAACAGGAAAGCAAATGGCAAATTATAATTATTATGGAGCATTAAACAGAATTGAGGAAACTCCTCAAAATGACTCAAATACAAGGACTACACGTCACGACCATTATTTAAATGTTTAAAATGTAAGACCTGAAGACTTTCCTAATTGTTTAGAATTGTGCTGATGGAGTCTCAACCATTCATATCTTTTGAACAAAATTTTATGGTCGGACGAAACAACAGTTCCACGAGATAAAGTTTTTATCACTTACAACGAGCATTTCTGTAGTAATGAGAATCTGCGTGCTTATTTAATCTTATCTTCTTTTATGACTCCTTTAAAAGAGGTTTTAAAAAAAATATAATTCGGCGAACAACGATTTTATGGTACCAAATGTACATGGTCTCAAACCTAAGAATAACATTGAGTGATGAAAGTTTTTCTGTATGTTGTCTATTTGGCAGTATGAAGATTTATATTCACATAGATTTACATACCTTCAACCTATTATATTCTATTCTTACTTTAATTTTTCTTTGCAATTCTAACATATTTATTTCCCGTTTTACATTAGTAATCTAAGCTTTCCTTATACGGTTTTGCTAATTTTATTTTCCATTAATTAAATGTTAGTTGTCCGTTCAACTGTTCTCAAAAAAAAAAACGAGATACAAGAATTTTCCATTAGCGATATTCTTAATCAAGCTATTAATGTTTTTCGCATTGAAATTTTTCGTTAAGAGAACTTTCAAGTTCCACATCATCAACTATGTTGTTCTAAAGGTCAGTATTTTGTTTTTGTTACTAACCTTCAGTTTTTGACAACTTACAAACACTTTAAGAAATTTGCCATTGCCATAATATGTTTTAGGAAGGAAGACATCCTCTTACGTCTTTTGAAAATATAAAATGAACTATCCAAGTCACAGTTTTATCACAAAACAGTTTTTAATATTGCTCCTGCACGTCCGTGCCCGAGATTTCAAATTTTCCGTTACAAATTCGAACGTACCCGTACCTTCACGACAATCAAAATTTTCAGACCAAAAGTGGCTTTGAAGCGGCTCAACTATACTACTGGAAATATACTCACTTTGCTGCGATTCCTCACCCTCCTGCTGCTGCACGCGTTTGCTTAAAACCGTTGCCGATTCCTGCAGCGACAAATATATGGCTAGCTTTAGCTGGTCGTCGGAGCTCTCGTTGCTGTTGTTCGATATGCTGGAGCTCGGGACGGGTGTGACCACGATGCTGGCGGTGTTGGCATTGGCTTCGGCCTGTTTCATTCTATCTTCGATCATTTGCAGTCTAGACATTTCCAAAGCTATGACGAGTTCCACATTATAGTCTGCTCCTGAAAATTAAGTTAATCTTGACATTTGTTCAAATTGTCAACCAAAAAAAAGTTATAATTCATGTTTTAGGTACTTCGTAAGAGTAGGACTTACTGCCAGTGCACCCTTGGCTGCTACATAGTAAACCACATTCGTGTTCCTTTACCGGAGACCTTATAAGTTTCTTCAATGTCACGCTCAAGTCAGTTTCCTCATCTGTATCGTAGTCGGGCCATTCGCAATCTTTCAGCCATGCGCTCGTTTGGAGGGCATTTGCCTAAAAACAGAAATATCCACCCTAGATACGATTTTATTGGAGCTTAGCCGTTGCTAACTAGAAAACTTTTATGTACCACTTTAAAAAATATGGATTTTGTCCGGTAACGGCATAACAGTAATGCACTTTTACTGAAAAGGCATGAAATTACTTGCTGGTAAACGAAAATACTCGAGAAGAACCAAAGGGAACAGAAAAAGATCTTTTATCTTGATGAGACGTGGATTGATAAAAGTTATTCACGACGCGTAGGGAAGACTTCAACTTTAAGTCGGAGAATACCAAAAATTTTCGACTGGTTAACTACTAGAAATATAGACTTTCAAGACAATTTCATAAAGATGGAAACAAGCAAATGAAAACTTAGTGCCACTGTGATGCACATATCTAATTGCCAACTAAATCCTTAACTTATATGAGCGCAAATGAAACGACTTATAGCAAAACACAACACGACATTCAAAATGAGACCTTAAGCAAGTCTTTGATCAAGCTATTGAAGAAGTGACGCCGGAGAATTGCTGACCCGTTAATTATAACGTTAAGAAGAGATTAATCAGATGACGAGGAATATTATTATTCTTTATTTAATAAAAAATAAGGGTACTTAATACTATGCACACAGTGCCTTTTTATTCTGTTATAAAAAACAATAGGTAAAAAAATCATAAATTGATCCAAACCAGGGCGGTACTACCTGCCCCGATAAAAAGAAAGAATTTTGCAATGAAATCAATGCCCATCAATGAAAGGCCACATTTGTTAGGCCACTGTACAACCTCTTTTCATACACAATATTGGTAAAGTTTAAATAATTTTCCGGAGATAAAGAAAGAACTTAATTTTACAATGTATTAATGGAAAATATATCAACAGGACCTACGGAACCAGAAAATGTAATTAGTTATAGGGAGCGCATTAACAAATCCAACCGAATTATTGGCGCGCTAAACGCTATTTTGTGATAGAAAAAAACACTGGCTAGAAAAAACACCTAATAATAGTGTTGCTCTTGTTCGTGCTTCTTCATTTGTTGTTTTAATCCTATAGGATATAGCTGAGAAAACAACATGTTTTATGATTGTTACTGTCAACAATTCAGATAATAGAATGGGTAAGGAGCCGTGTTAGGTTCATTGAAAAATGCGCTAGTAACAGTAACATGTTATTACACGCGTTTGAGGCAATAAAGCTTTACACAGAAAAGAGACATGCCTCTAAGGCATGCAATAATCTTATCTCATCCATCACGGATGATACAGGCTTGGCTGTAAATAGGGCATGTTAGTCTTAGATATATTTGTTGATATCACCTGCAGATTATGTTATCTGGATAGTGAAATTCGAATCTTAAAGGTGACATTAGTTTGGTTTAGTTATAATAATTTGAGAAATAGATCTTTTTTTGGTCATATTTTCAATTGAATTGAATTTCGCTCAGAGTAAAAGCAATAATTAAGATATTTGTCGACTAGCTGACACTTACGTCCATGCACCTCCGTTTTCTTTTCCGTTGCATTGGTGGTGTTTCGGGTGGTATGAGACCCTGAGCAACGGCCCTCATAAATTCGTGGCGTTTTCTCCTGGCCAACGCTGATGTCTGAATTATGACGGCCTTTGGAGTGCGTAAATACGGTCTGGCAATCATTTCGCTTAATTTCTCCGTCACTTCTTCAAGTTCATTCTACAGAAATATAAGATTGGAAATATCAGTTTAAATTATTTATGTAAAATACCTGCATGAATTCGAATATGCTCTTATTGTAGCCGTCGTCTTCCAAATAGTAACCATACACGTAAGACCCACAAAGCACTCGTCTGGCTTTAAGTAATTCTCTCACACCGTCTTCAATGAATTTTGTATTCTTTTCCACAGCTTCTAAAATATGACGGTTACAGGTAACATGATAATAAAGTAGACCCATTACCTTCTTTTTTTATACCCAAACTGCTTGCTAGCACTTCCATCTTTTGCTTTACGCTGGTCAGCAGAGGCTCCTCCAGTCTTTGGCTGTTTTCATGATTTCGGAACCTTGTGTAAAAGTGCAAAAACCGAGAAATTTCTTGCATTTGATTGTTCCTCTCGAGCGCATCATTTATCAAACTACCCTGAAGCAAGACTCTTATTGGTTATTTTACTTGTTTCGGAATTCACACAAACCTGTTTCTCGTCAGCTTTGTGTACAGCTTCGAACCGGTTACACCTAAAATATCCTCCAGTTGCTGAGCTGTGCCTCTTCCAGGATTCTTGACATACCCAGCAAAAGTCAAATTTGCACTGAAATATTTCAAAAAAGTTTGCATTCCATTTCGGGAGCGCATGCCGGCTCACCTTCGAGCATTTCATGTGGTTACAGCCTTCGTTCTTTTGTATCGGACTCTTGCAGTTAGGACAAGGCTTCGAATTAGTCACCAACCATAAACAGTTCGCAGCCTCTTCCGTACCGCTACAGGCCGATTTCAGTTCTTCAGGCTTCACTTCGGCGATTTTCTTATGCCATTCCTGCCACTGTTTGCAGCCGCAAGGGGCGTGGGCCTCGCCTGGCAAAAGAAATGACTTAGATGGGAGAACAATGTGATGTACACGTCTGAACGATTGCGCACTTTGCAAAGAGACTCAAACTCAAAGTACATATTTGAGGAAAATGTAATATACCGAGTGTCGTAGTAAAGTCAACGAGGGACACTAGAAAACATCTTTTAATAAACCAACTCTTTTCTACAATTTGATTAATGAAATTTTATGAACGTTTTGATTATAAAGTATTAGTTTAGTCACTTTAAAACATCAACGATTTTCTTTTTTCCTGCTGTTTTAAAGGGAATTTATATTTAAAACAAATTATTACTCTATTATTATAAAAGACGTTTTTTCGTTCTCTTATAGTAATAAGATGACTATACTAATCAATCTGGAACGTTTAGATTTTAAGCGCGGTGGGTTGAAATTTCTAAAAGATTTCCCTTAAAAAGAAAAAAAGGTTCTTGTGTCACCTGAATTTTACCAGCCAACAGAATAAAGGGAAAAAGTCGAAATTATCGTCTGGGTGCTTCCTAGGTTGCTAGGTAGTGTGGCCCCACTTTGCATTTTCAGTATGCCATGTGGTGTGTTTTAAAAACTGTGGCGTATCATACGGTAATTACGTACTTGCTTGTGTCTATTATTATCAACAATATACAAGCAATATTAAGATAAGAATAGTTACGACATGAAAAACTGACAAACATCGAAATTGCTTTTAAAATGGTTAGTAGACAAAAATTTATTTAGACGAAAACTGGCAGTAAACATATAAGTTTTTTTTTGCTCCTTGGAGAATTTTTAATGAAAGTAGACAAATATAAGTACCACATTTTAGTTTTTTATTAGAAACAAGTGTGAAACAAAAACCTATAAACTCTCTGGCAGAGAATTCAATTGAAAATGAGCATACTGTTGAGGCAGCGTCATCATTCTAAATTTATCTGTGGATAAACCAAACAATTCAAATATAAGAGTAACAAACGATATTCACTGGATCCAAACTCAGTCCAGATCGTAGAAGAATATTTAACTCGGCTTCAATATATATATATATATATATATATATATATATATATATATATATATATATATATATATATATATATATATATATATATGATGACACTATACTCCGGGATATCATCCGTTCACTCGTTGAACTCCGACTGGAATCCTGCAGACGTTCGACGCTCGCGCTCCGCAGTGTTCGAAGTGTTTTCGGAGCGCGAGCATTGAAGATGCCAAGTGAGATTTTGGCGAAACGTCTGCAGGATTTGCAGGATTCCAGTCGGATGCAGGATTCCAGTAGGAGTTCAACGAGCGAACGGATGATATATATATATATATATATATATATATATATATATATATATATATATATATATATATATATATATATATATATATATATACATATAAGTTTTTTTTTGCTCCTTGGAGAATTTTTAATGAAAGTAGACAAATATAAGTACCATATTTTAGTTTTTTATTAGAAACAAGTGTGAAACAAAAACCTATAAACTCTCTGGCAGAGAATTCAATTGAAAATGAGCATACTGTTGAGGCAGCGTCATCATTCTAAATTTATCTGTGGATAAACCAAACAATTCAAATATAAGAGTAACAAACGATATTCACTGGATCCAAACTCAGTCCAGATCGTAGAAGAATATTTAACTCGGCTTCAAAATATATATATATATATATATATATATATATATATATATATATATATATATATATATATATATATATATATATATATATATATATATATATATATATATATATATGATGACATTATACTCCGGGATATCATCCGTTCGCTCGTTGAACTCCGACTGGAATCCTGCAGACGTTCGACGCTCGCGCTCCGCAGTGTTCGAAGTGTTTTCGGAGCGCGAGCATTGAAGATGCCAAGTGAGATTTTGGCGAAACGTCTGCAGGATATGCAGGATTCCAGTCGGATGCAGGATTCCAGTAGGAGTTCAACGAGCGAACGGATGATATCCCGGAGTATAGTGTGATCACATTTTTCCATCCGTGAATCAATACGTGAGAATATATATATATATATATATATATATATATATATATATATATATATATATATATATATATATATATATATATATATATATATATATATATATTTGTGTGTGTGTGTGTGTGTGTGTGTGTGTGTGTGTGTTTGGATCCAGTGAATATCGTTTGTTACTCTTAAATTTGAATTGTTTGGTTCATCCAGAGATAAATTTAGAATGATGACGCTGCCTCAACAGTATGCTCATTTTCAATTGAATTCTCTGCCAGAGAGTTTATAAGATTTTGTTTGGGTCCAAAAACAATTATTAAGGATGTATCGCGCTACAAATATGACGGAAAGAGAAATATATAGAACAATAAATTATTAAGAAAGCATAACCACTATAAAGTCGCAATTTTTGAGAGAGATTGAATTACAGTTCCCCTATCAGTCTTGATAACTAAATACAAAGAAAAAACTACGCAATCACACAAAACATACATATTTTTAATATGTTATTTAGAATCTATTCCCTCTAACAATTTTAAGAGAAGTATCATTTTTACAATACAATACGTATTTTTAAATAGGGACACTTCATTTTATCTTTTCGCGCCAAATTTTAATAAAACTATGTGGCAACAGTGCCTGGTTTGGTAACGTCGGTGCAATATGCGAATGGTCTGAAAAAGGAGTTCAAGTGTTAGGTTGTATAACGTTTATCAAATACGTTAAAACTTAGTTTTTTAGTTTTATTTTCCCCTCTTGGGGAAATATATTTTAACCAAAAAATTGACAGACCAACTACTTTTTATACAAAACCATGTAAGAAAAACATTCGCTTTTACACATTGAACTTAGTAAAGCCACATACGTCCGAAAGAATTGAACTTTTGAAATTAGGAATGATGGCCTGTTTAAAAAATTAAAAACATTTCCGACATGGATTTACCCATAGAATAAAAAAATAGGAAAACGTATAGAAAAATTCCACTAAAATCGGAAATGCTATTCAATTGTTTTAAATGTCCCTTATTTAGAGAACATCTCTAAATTTCAAATTTATTAAAAAAAATTTTACAGAAACTTGGCTAGAAATTTCATTGATGCATATTATATTATTATAATTTGACAGATATACTATTGAAACATGATATGAAAAAAAAAGAATTTGCTATTATTTAGAAATTTCTTTGCTGTTTAAAAACCAGCTACTGCGGGATTTGGAAGTTGTCTCTGAGCCCATCGCACTTTAATTATGTCGTGCGAATATTGTGACTACAGAAAAAATATTAGTAGGACGTTGTTATTGAATAAGTACTTCATATTCCACGGGTTATTTTGCTAAGTATTTTTAAGGAGAAAAGTTACGAACAGAAAGTAACAAGTAAATTTTATTTCTTGTTGTTCTGCATAATTTATTAAATAATGCCGATTTCGTAATGAAATTTGGTACTTACAGTTTTCTTTAAATTTGTTTCAATGTAGCTCTTACTTGTTCAGTCGCAGCATGTCTTTCTCTCAATTTCAAAGGCTCATGACTTTCTATACGTCAGTGTATAATATTTTTGTTAAAAAAAATCCTTACTCCGTGGAAAATGTTCTTTTTTTCCGTGTTGGAAATATTTTGGATTGAAGTGTTTTCCAAAAAAGTGAAAATAGAGTTATCGCATAGACATCAGGGATAATATAACGGGTGATGCATTGCGGAACGGAATATAGCGATTAACTCATGTGTCGAGTTTGAAAAAAAATTAATAAGCCAATCTTCAGTTATTGAATTAAACATGATGGCAAAATTGCAAACACACACCAGCGAATAATGAATTGAATTTAAAGGACAGTTTAAGCAACAAGAAATCTTCAGAAAACAGAAATAAATTTGACCTTCAAGAATTTTATTAAAGATAATTAAGAATTATAATAAAAATACTGCGACACAGCATTGCATAAAAAGAAACATTATTTAAAATAAACATTATTTTTTAAGTAAATGTTCCCTCCACTGAAAGTTCCACAATATCCTAGGCCATCACAAAATTCAATTCTAACATTGCTTAGTTGTGAAATCCTGTCATATTCTTTGTTAGCGTTTTGTCACTGGTTAACATTTTCAAATTTAACATTTTTCTAGATAACACTGTTCAAGAAAGAGGTCGTTCAGCGCGAGGTCAGGTGACCTAGGCGGTCAAAGAATTCGTTACTTTGGGCCAATAATATTCCTGCTAAAAGTATTTCCCAAATACTCTCTAACCATAAGGGAATTGTGGGCGGGACAACCATCCTTGTGGTACTAGATCTCCTGATCTTGGCAAAACAACTTCTTCTAGTGCCGGTTCAATTTCATTTTGTAATAAGTCCAAATAGGTTTCTGCCGTGAGGTTATAGTCGATAAAAAATGGTCCAATAATATGATATCCGCAAATACATACCGCTCTAATACCGACAGTTTTGAACATTGTTGAGTTGAGTGTGAGCATTCATCAATGAACCACATATTTTTTTTAAAAATCCCTATCATGATTTTGTTTTTCCATCATTTCAAAACAAAAGCCTTTCTTTATCGCTTTCCCATAGCTGTCGGTGCTTTTCGCATTTGTAGGAATAATATTTGTGTTTTTTTAATGTGGTTTGATTTACAGCTTGTCCAGGAATCCTCGTAGTAATCATGCAGTAAAACGTTCAAATCTCTGTTGTCCCTTTCTTCCGCTGTAACATTTGCAGTTATTTATTACGGACCTTTGTATTCGAATTGGGTAATAATACGTTTAATTGTTGAAATCGAAGTTATAGATTTATCAGGAAAATAAAATGAAAACATTTCAGACCATGCTCTAAGAGTGTTTCATGCATAATTCCACTTAATTATGGTTACTTTTTCTTCAATTGAATAATGCATGTTAGCTTTAATTAAAGCACGTTTAATAAAGTATAACAATTACAAATAAAAATATTGTTACTGTCACGAATTTTCATGTTGTCATTATGAAAACGTATTTTCCTAGTATTTGACTTATTACCTAAACTATAAAAATTTTCTAATTTTGCCTTAATATTTTATTCAATAACTGAAGATTTCCTTATTAAAATTTCTTCCAGCTCCTTCTAAAAAGCTATATTACAACTTTTCTATAAAATATGCACGCGAATATTTGGTCACCTAAAAATTTACATGGGATTTCCTATGTTCGGTTCGGCAATGCATCACAATGCATGTTTGATTGTCGAAAATTCGGCATTAAATTTTATAATTAATTTTTAAAATTATTTTTTTTGAATTAGTTGTCTTCAGTACAAGTTCAATATAAAAAAAAAAACTGAATAACTAAATCAAAAAAACAAATTATTAATCAATTACTTTTTAATTAAAAAGTCATCTCCTCAGCTTTCCATGGTTAACAGGTGCACAAAAAAAATTATGAGACATTTTTAAATGGGTAAGATTTCTGAATTTGTTATAGCCAAAAATAATTTCAGACAAAAATTCAAAAAATGTGTAAAGTATATTATGCAACAAGTGCGGCAAACGATATTTGAGTCACGAATTTATCTGTCACGAAGCAAATGCTTCATAATTAAATAATACACAAATAAAAGTTTTCCAAACTTGCATACTATACCTTTTCTACGACCGTTAGATTTTCGGAACATTTTTGCATAACTACACGAATATATTTACTGACATGACCGTCATAATTCACAAGCGTCAAAATTCAAGGCGCGTGGAAAAATCTCCCAAAACATACGATTGCTCACAAACCAGTGCGGTAATATCCCGGAATCTCCGAGATGGCTCAGATCCATCGGAAACGAAACTGACGTGGTACGATGACACTTTCCGCAAGCTAGATCGCCGTATAATTAACAATTTTACAGTAGGGAGAACAAAAAAAAACAATTACCATTGAAAATTTCGTTATTTTTAATAATTTAACATCTGTCAAAACACAATGTGTCACTTAAGTAATACTTGAAGAAAATAAATTTTATTAAGATGTCATTAATATGTCTAGTACTATTTGTTTTAAAAGTCGCACTTCTCGAGAGACATTGAATTACAGTACCCATATCTGTCCTCATGACAATGACAAAAAATATATCATGTTAAGATGTTATTTCGAATTTTTTCTCCTCGAAATTTTTATTTCGTATCATTTTGTATTGCGTTTCATATACAATTTAAATATAGACCCTTTATTTTATCTTTTCGAGCTAAATTATAACAAAACAACGCCTGGTTTGGTAACATCGGAGCAATATGTGAATTTCTCTTAAGGATGGTTTGAAAAAGAAGTTGACAGGTTTGGTTGTATAACATTTATCAAACACATTAAAACTTAGTTTTTTAGTTTTCTCCACCTCTTGAGTTGCTCAAGTCATTTATAGTATTTTTTCATCTTATTTACTCTAGTTTCTTATTTATTACTGGGTGGTCTAAGATTGCCTGTGGCATGTGTCTAGTCCTGTAACGTCGGTTGTTTAAACATTTAAAACAATATTCTGTAATGTTTTTTATATTATCTTTGTCACTATAATTTGACTGCTTTGCTTTTCAATTAACATGCAGACAATAATTTTATTCTAATAAGAATAAGTAATAAAACTTGTTATGCTATTTACAAAAGTTCTCATCCTGTTGGCTTGTTCAGAGCTGAACTGAAACTGGCTCGCGTTTTACTCTGTACCTGCTTATATATTGTTTGAGGGGGTCACAGCTGATTCCCATATTGGTGAAAAGTAAAGACCTGAGTCGCGGTTAAGATTGTTTAGTTAGATAGATTTCTATAGATTCTCGGATTTGTTGTTGGTAGAAGAATTAATTACGTACGAGGATTTTAGTTATATCGAATAAAATTTTATATGCGGTTTCGTGAATGTGTTCGGCAACTATTGATGAGTTAATTTGCCGTAGTCTTAAGGCTGTTTCATGTTCCTTGAGCATAGTTGATATTTTTCGTGCGGTCCTTCCAATTTATTTTTTGCCGCTTGTGCATGGAATACGTGTATCTCAAACGAAGTTTTGTTTTTGACGGATCGAAGATGTTGAGAGATTTTTGGACAAGTATTAAATCTGGTTTTGACGTTGTTTCTAAAGAACTTTTAAGATATGTTCAGTGATAGGAAGGAAGGACAACACTGGCAAGTGTGGGGTTGCTTTCGGACTCATTGTCTTGTAAGGTTGTGGTGAAGTGTTTTAATTCTGGGTTCAGTGACACAGGTTGAGATAGTTTAACGGCTTTGTAAATAACCGATGATTTTTAGGCCGGATGGTGGTGTGACGATGCATTGGTATGTGCGTAGGTTTTCTGTAAATAGAATAACCCAATATGAGGTCTGATTTTCTATTGATAAGAATATCTTAGAAAAAACTGGGTTTTGTAAAGTTTCAGTTGCTCAGAAGAAGCAAACAGGATAGGATGATTGGCGAAATGTCACCAAGTTCAATTCAACAACAACCGACACAGGAGGAATCCAGAAGTTTTGTAAATGATATTACAGTAGCCTACGGAAATGTCTTTCAAAAACTAAAATAGCTTAAAAACTCATTTCCAGTAATTTCTTTTAAATTTTTAGTACCGTCTATTTTTCTAACACTGTACCTCGTGGCCATTACTGGGACACCCGGTACATGTGTGTAATAAAAGGTAATCAGAGTAACCTATAGATTTGCTGTCTAAAGCCAATGTAAAGTAGGACGGGATAGGAAAATAAGAATTCGAATGAAAAAAATGTACCATGTATGTATTATTCAAAAACTACCATACAACTTTATTTCTAAATGTTGGTCATCATAAGCCGATTAGCTTATTTCAATAACATGTTCGATGCACTTACTCAATTGTTCAAAATCCACGGTTTTTATTCCCCTTTGCAAGAAGATTTCTACATCGATTATTTTAAAAGAGGTGCTCTATTCTTTCTCTATTGAAAGTGATTTTCCGTTTTTAGTGTTTTCGTAACGAAAATGTATTTCCTGTAAAGTTTTTCACAATTTCTTCTTACACATGGGTGGAATTAAATCATCCATTTCATTTCAGTATTCCTTTTTAAGAATAATGAGTGTATTATTCTTCTTATGACAGTCTTGTTATCCTTGCAGTTATATTTCTTCATGTACTTCTCACTGATGACCTGATGGGGCCGCGTTTATCCTCATGTACAAGTCGATATATATTGACTGGTCAACTCCAGTCATATTCGAATACCTTTGAAACTTCGAATATTGACTTTTGGTTTAAGAGATTGAGAATAATAATTTTCTTATTTTAAGAAAGCGCAGTTTTACAAATACGTTTCTGAGCAATAAATTTACAAAAATTAAGGCACAGGTAGGTCAAGTACCTGTACGTCTGCCTGCCTACCTCTCAGGGCCCTTGACAATCATCAAAGGCACAATTCTACGCCTATGGAATACGACTAAGACCACTAACTTCCACAGGTCATAATGATTTGTAACTCTATCACATTAAGAAACCTCTACCTATACACAAACAGCTACAATTTATTTCTTAATTGACTTAGTTCAAAAAATATTATAAGGTCTTTTGACTGTAATGGCTATATTCATTACGCCATCACCTTATTCAAGTAATCCTGAAGATAAATTAATGCATTTAAATATAAAATAAAATATAATAATTATTCGCTAAAATTTAACTTTAACTTGTAAAAAGTAATACGGCTCAAGTTAACCTATCCATCCAATGCAATTCAAACGAATACAATTCCGATATAAGTTTAGAACTTTATGCGTTTTTGTTCCATACTGTACTCACCCAAACATTCCCAGCAGAAGAAATGCGCATTGCCGCAATCCACCGCATGCGAAGTTACCAGACTCGCTTTAGCATTGGTCTTACCAGATGTCTGTTCTGCCTCTGGCAATCTTACAGCTCTTCCGCAACCCGGTATAGGACACCATTTTATACTCTTATTACTCTCAACAAACGCCTGCAATAAATTACGTACATAGAGCAAGAGCGAAGTCACAGTCCCACCATTCCAAGTCTTTTACCTTTATATCGAACTGCAGATACCTCCTGGCCATCTCAGGACTCACCAATTTTTCTATGAACTCAACGGGAACTAATATGTGGCATTGGTAAGCAGGACATAGAATGTGGTGGGCATCTCCGTCTTGAATCTTGGTGGTGAGATAACTCTGCCAACATGTCTTGCAAAACAAATGCCTGCACGATATTTTTACTGGCTGATCCCATTCACGAGGAATTGCCATCAAGCATATTTCACACTGAAACACTAAATCTGTTTTGAAGGCTTTCAGATGAGAATCAGTTTACCGTCACTTCCTGTTCGTCCGATGTTTCGGTTGATATACTCGATTCTATTGAACCTCCGTGGGAGAGCACCGAAGCGGGAGCTTGCACCCCTGCAAGATGGCAGCATTCTACGGGATCGCGCATCCATTTTTCCAGCAGGAGTTCTCGCGACCATTCTGAATTTGCGATTCGTTTTTAATCAAAGATATAAAAAGTAAAAAATGAGGGGAAGTGAATATAACCAAGGGATAAAACTTAAACGCGCTAACGACCATGTATGCTATATAGGTTCACATCGTGATTTCTGCATAGAGCGCGTGACCCTGTTTGGGGGCAATGAAGTGATGTAGGTCTAAGAGGGGCCTAGCCACAGTGTATTTAAATCAGGTGTTTAGTTGGTCCCTAAGAAACGAAAATTAGTCTTGGTTTGGATTTTTGCATGTGTTTTAGTATTTATAAAAAAACATCGTAATCTATATAATGCGTAATTTGCGGTTTATTATTTCATTGAAAACAACCAAAAGTCACCGTTAATTGACGTGAAAGGTATATTATTGGATACTATTCGTTAGAAGTTTCACCCGCCTCACCATTAAGTTTTAGCATAATTAAATAGTATGTGTCCCATTAAGCAGTTTTGGGTTGTATATCTAATGAAATTATGCCAAGAAAAGGAAAATCTAATAAACAACTTCGACAAATGTTGGAAGAGAATAATTTTGAATGTAGTGATACAGCTAGACCTAGTAATGTACCTGATTCACCTATCTAGAACTTACAGATGGAAATGAGCTAATGCTTTTTTTGGGCCATGTAATATTAATGGGTATTTACATGTTTACATATTTAAGAAATATACTTATTTTATTTTTTCAGCCGGAATTTTTATGTACTTCATTAGTTATAAGAGATAATATTCAACGACCGCCTTGGGACTTTCTGCAACACTCGACGCTAGTAGTAGAATAATAGTCTTATAATTAAAGTAAATTAAGTAAATAATAAAAATTTGTAGTATAATAGTATTATAGTATGACTTTATCATGCATTTTGGGCGAAATAGAGTATTCAATATATCACAGGGTGATTTGTCATGAATTTTAAGGTAAGTAAGTTTCTAAAAGAAAATTAGTAGCTAAGGGGATTGTTGACATAAAAAATTTGAATTTAGCACTTATTTGTACGGGGCACTACCTACATATCGTTCCTCACTCTCAAATGAATTTTTGTTCTTCCTTGTATTATATTTCCGACAAAAAGGAAATGAATTTCTCAATCATTTCTACGTGAAAAAAATTCCATAAGATAATAAGATAAAAAGATTTTTTTAGTCAACAAATTACTTTTGCATTAAGCAGTCAGACACTAAATAAAACCAGATTAAAATCACAATTGTTGTACCCATGAGAGGTGAAAATGGCTCGTCAGAGAAGAAAATTCTCCTTGATAAATCAACCATTCGCACCGTATTGTTAATAGCTCTCGTTTTTGTAAATTTGTTAAACCAAACTGACACCGAAAATAAATGCTCTGCACTGACAGTTGCTTTATTTTCAGCGGTAAGAACCTGAGAAACCCAAAAATGTTATTACTGATTTAGAAAAATCACTGTGGCAATCATATTCCATGCTGATTAATAATCCAGATTAACACAGGTTTCATGTTTTTGGAACAAAAGAACAAACAAACAAACAGATTGAGACAATTTTACATTATACAGTTATAAGTAATAGGCGTCCAATGTTTGACAGGGTGATTTTTCATTATTTTTTATGTTAAAAAGTTGAGTGTCATGTGAAAAATGATTATATATTATATATTTATATTATATTATATATTATATCAATTAATAATATAATTAATTAAATTCTTGAGAAATCACATTGTGGAGTACTGGTAAAATTTTGCATATTAAGTTTGGGTGCAATGTTCTTTAGTATTCTTTGGGTCATAAACTTATTATTGAAAATAATCTATGAATAGTCTAACCTTTCCGATTGCGAAAGGGATATAATTATGGAGACATTAAATGCATGGTATAATAATATTATGTTAGCAGTAACACCAAGCGAATTCTTATGGCATTTGCTGCTGCCATCATGATGATATTTATTATACTTACCGTTATCCCGTAACAAAGCTTCGGCAGTGAATAACGGTATTTTCAGCATGTCGGAAGTATCCACTAAGAGTTGATCTTTAGCTTCCTGCAGATCTTGGCTTCTTAAACCGCTGTAGACTTCTTCCTGTTCGTTTATGATCTCGCCTTCGTTTACAGTATCTGCGCTATCGGCCTAAAATAAGCGACATGGAGCGAAGGTATAATAAATAAAATTACTAACTTACGAATACCATCCTGCTTTCCAGCAGTCTTGCAATATCGTGGTGGGAAGCTTTCATAGCTAGATCGCATGGTGTAAGTTTATCGCTGTTTTCCAGAAACAATGGAGAACCATGAACGAGAAGCAGTTCAACGCACTTTTTGAGACCCGACTGAGCTGCTCTATGTAGGGCGGTGTTGCCCTCCTGAAGAATTTGAAAAAATGAAAATCAATTGTGAATTGCTCTTTATTGACTTAATTTTGCTATTACCCAAGCGTTGATTTACATGGTATTTCAAAACAAATGTGAAAAATTTTTGAGGGTGATTCCTTTATACAGTACATTTTACCTTAAACGTGTGAAAGTTTTTAAATATTACGTATGAAAACTGTTTGATAGGTGGGCATTATCATTAGCCACCTCGATCCCCAAATTTAAATCTAGGAATACTTAAAGGATATTGAAGACCTTAGAAATTGGATAACTTAATTGTAATTAATTTTGGTATTTAAATTAAAATTAAATTTTAATTTAATAAGTGCGTGTCTTGTAACGTCGTAAAAAATAATCCAGGCATTTTCACTCACTATAAAAATTGTATTTATGTTTTGCATTAGGTGTGTTTTTTATTTGTTCTGTTTTTATAAAGACATATTTATCTTTATCAAAATATTTATAATATACTCAAAATTAGTTGAAAAGTTGAAATGGTGGGAGTGTCTAATTCAATCATCTCCACTCATTTCAAAACTGAAGTTTTTACGCTAAAAATTTAAAACATTATTTTTCCGCCATATGTGTAACAGTGTTAAGTTTTTCGCATTTGTTATGAAATATCATATATATCATGTTTCACGTGTAACCAACTATATGACAATCACATTGGGGAATGATTATTAAAATTCTTTAAAATCTCATATTGGGCCTTTACTGAAATATAAAGATGTGTTTCAGCCACTCAACTAGGACCTTAGTAGTTTTCACATATATTATAAGGCAAACAAATTATTTTGCAAAGGACTTGATTTTTATTTCAAAAATAGTACAACACAGTAACTGAAATCAATCGAACATAAAATAACTGTGCCATTCTTGTTAGTGTTTTACCACCTTACGATTTTTCTAGCAGCAACTCAATTTTACCATTAAGAATGTGGTAAGTAACCCCAATAAAAATGATATGCAAATAGAATGGAGCATCCAATTACCTCAAATAAGACGAGAATGGCAGGGTGTTACTTACTTTGTCTTGCGCTGAGAGATCGACCTTTTCCCTGCCTCCACTGCTGAGAGCAGGCCCTTTCCAAAATAGAAGCAATTGCACGCAGGCTGCTCGGCGTTCTTGAGCACTGAAGCTCTTCGTCTGATTCATCTGACATGCCGCGTGTAACACTGTTTCATTCAAACCGTTCTTTTTGTTTGGGTTGCCTCCTAAATCGTTCAAAAACGTTCGAAGTAAATGCTTCATACCTGCGAATAAACGAATCGATGTTTGTGATTAAGCTGTTCACGCTTTTCTTTTTGTCTATTTATATTAATATTACTACCATGTTTTGCAGCGTAATGTAGTGCGGTATTGTGGTTGTGGTTCTCCCCGTAACTCAGATTTGGATCGAGGTTCTTCCGCAGCTCGGGAGAATTCTGATAGATCTGCATAGCGGCAAATTCGTCGCCATGTTGAAGATACTTCTTGAACTTGGACGACGTACTTCCCATTTTTCTACAGTCGAGCCTCAGTAGTGGCACATACAAACAGCATAAAAATGGATATGTTTGTCTTGTCAAGAGCCGGACGTCGTTCTGACGAACATACGCTCTCCCCTCTAGAAATAAATATACATACATTACATAGACGACAAATAGAAATAGGGGATGTAGTCTCAAATTCCGCATTTGTTCCAACTGGAGTTTCCCAATAGTGTTAGAAAATATTAATGTTAATTTTCCCGATGCATAGACAAAACAGTGGGAACCAATTCTCATAATTCCCCTTCCCCAAATTCGAAAGTTGATAACTTGTCAGATCTGAGAAATAATACAGAGGCCTTTTAAAATTTTTGGAAAGAGTATATACAAGCAGCTATACCAGTCTATCCTGATAGTACTACAGAATCAGGCGGCATTTCGTAGCACTGCAACATTGCTTACTCGTGTTATAAATGACATTGCCCGTAACTGTGACAACTTAAATATCACAGAGCTAGTGCTAGTGCTAGTCAACATTTGACAATATATCTCAAGAACTTATGTATGTTATCTTGGACTACTACAGGTTTACAACGACGCTCGAAGCAAAATAAATAATATTGATATAAGAATTAATAATATACCAAATATGCAATAAGCTTTTTTATGCAAAAAGTAACTTTTCTTAATAAAAATATTAGACATGTTTATGCGAATCCTAAGTTCTTTCACATTGTCTTTAATTTGACACGCTGTATACAAACTTTTTAAAAGAATACGAATCCAACTGACCAAAATGCATGTATCTGATTAATTTTTGGATTGCCTAAATATTTCGAGAAAAATGGTTAAACTGAAATTGATGAACATACAGGGTCATCGTGAGTATCATTTTCTTGGTCACAAAATTATCACATCAAATACACCTAATATATTTATCTAACAAACTAATTAGCATTTTCAATGTCCACTTTAGGAATACTCGTTTGAGACAACAATAATTTCAAATTCGTAAACATAAACCCACCCTATTTCAGTAATGGTTTTCCCGCTGCCCTTTCAATTTACTGCCTCCTTTACTTAAAAACGTTTCCATAAATTAATTTTTCAAAGAAACTTCCACAGGCTACTGTAATCCTTTTTACAAAACTTCTGCATTCCTCCTACGTCGGTTTTTGCTTAGTCGAAATTGCTGCCGTTTCGCCAATCATCCTATTGGCTTCTTCAGAGCTTGACTGAAACTTAAACTGAAATGACAGTTTCAATCAAGTTCTGAAGACGCCAACAGGATGATTGGCGAAACGTCAGCAATTTCGACTAAGCAAAAACCGACGCAGGAGGAATCCAGAAGTTTTGTAAACAGCGTTTCTATAAATTCATAGAAGCAAACTTTTCTAGATTGCTGATTGCATCTTTCAATTTTCATTCATATATAATTTTAATAACATTCTTAAGGTTAAGTGTAAGAATAGCAATTCATCACCTTGACCCAGATGCTAAATATCTCCCATGATCAATTTTTCCTTTAATTGCGTTATTTTTGGTATCAACGTAAATATGACAGAGTAAAAGAATAACGCACAAGATTCGAGATCTTTCGAATGAGTTGAACCTGAACAGTTACGCATAAGGCTATCCATACGTCAACACCTTCCTACCTTAGAGCATCATCAGAGAAAACCCTGTCTTTAATAAGAAGTCATTTTTGTCTCGCTCTGAGAAATTATGCAATCCTGTGTCCTAAATCTTTAAGTTTTTGATTGCCAAACAATTAAATACTAAAGTTAAAGACTCTCGCGTTAAGATGAGTGATTTATATTAAGTTCTTTCTCTCTGGTGACATGACATTGTATAAATGCTCCACATTGACTCGTTTTGTAGTACAACACTAATTAATCAAATAGTCTTCTTTTTCTCTTCTTTAAAACTGCGATTGAAGTATGTCATCTTATTATTATTAGTTATTTTCTGAGGATTTATACGGGACGTGGTGTAAGAATAGCTACACTAGATTTCATTTTGTACAACGCTTTACTGAATAAAGGCGATTTATCCGATCCGAACAAAGAATTTAAAGCATGTTCACAACGCCATTTGTGAGATAACCTACTCAGCATTCTCTATTCCGGTCAACGCAATGGGCATCAAACCGAATCGAATAATTAGGTACTTACATCATATTAACACATTTCGTAAAATAAAAGTTAGAAACAGAAACGAATTGTTTATCCAAAACATTGTCACACCTCCGAGTGTCGATGTTTATTGCGTATGGATTAACGCAAGCGTTTAAAAAAAAAAGCGAAAACAGAGATAGCAAATTTATTCCATTGTCTGCGTATTTCAAATAATAATGTTTGTTTGTGTTAGATAGCTAAACCAAACAAACTTTTTAAGTATGCGCAAAACGCAATTTTAACTAAATTTTCTTTGTTTGATTGGTTTGAATAGGATTTCAATGGACATGATATACATATTTTTTAGCTTGGCCAATTTGTTGAAGCGATACCTTTAAGTTGCACTGAGTACGCTGTGTCCCAAATTGCTTGTAATCTCATAATTTTCCGATAACCAGCGGTTTTCGCGATTCTGGTGTTGTCAAAAACTTTATAAACAAACCGTTTTTAAAATAAACCACAAACATGGTATTTTTTAAATGAATACCCCGTATTGAGTATCAAAAATTCGCCTGTTTTTTCCCTTTGTAATGAGGAAGCACACCATGCACTTTTGATGTAAACTAAACCTTAAAAACCCAATATTATAGGAACAAAGTACGTTGAAATTGAAGTATTAAAGTGTTAAAAAGCAAAGTGAAATAAAATCAAAAAGTAACTCTGAACTCGATATATTAATTCTATGTGACTAAGAAAATTGTTTAAAATTTTGAAATAGAAATATTGTGGAGATTTACGTGCGGCATCTTATTCATAAGTCCGGTAGTATTTGATTTAAAATTGTTTCCAATATAAAGTACGCGACGCTAAACCCAAACCTTCCTTGTTCCCATGCCAATTTTTCGTATACCAGCGCCTACTATTATTCGTAATAAAAATACCACTAGAACATCTATGGGTTGCGTAGGACCATATAACCTTGATAAGTTGGGGTCATTTTGGGTTTTTTTGAGATACCAGATTTAGGCGCCTATTCGCATCTCCGGGATGTTTATAAGGTTTATATTTTCTTAATATCCTTTGCGTTTGTGATTTTGACACACACAGTTTCATCAATATTTCCCGTGATTGACCTCAACATTTGCTAATACAACCTCATTATTCGTTATTTTGTTTATTATCCGTTCTATATATATATATATATATATATATATATATATATATATATATATATATATATATATATATATATATATATATATATATATATATATATATATATATATATATAGATAGATAGAAGATGCCAAGTGACATTTTGGCGAAACGTGTGCAGGATTCCAGTCGGAGTTCAACGAGCGAACGGATGATATCCCGGAATATAGTGTCATCACATTTTTCCATCCGTGAATCAATACGTGAGAATATATATATATATATATATATATATATATATATATATATATATATATATATATATATATATATATATAAGATATAAATCAGATGCTCATCACTTATGACATTCATTCATTCATAATGTTTTTATTAATATCCATTAATCTACCCAACATTTAATAAACATTAATACATTTTTTTGTTTTTTTTTTCCTATAATAAAATTGTACTGTGTGCCTATGGGGGACCATTTTCAATAGTTTTTAGTTTTACAAATATTTCGGATACCTTATTCATCGGTCCACAAGAATTACAAATAGCCAGTAGCCACAGTAGCCTCTGGAAGTTTCTTAAAAAAAAAAGTATTTTTGTGGATTAGTGCTATATATAATTATCCTAAGGTTTATCAAGATTATTAAGTTTATTAAGTTATAAATTTTAATTTAGTTAAATTTTGCTACCTCTTTTTTTTTTTTTTTTAATTTTAATACCTCTAATTCCAGGGCCAATAAATACGCGGAATTCCATTAAAAAAATACTAATTCTGGGCTATATCTCGAAAACGGTTTGTCTCATCTGAGGACAACACCACTGCTTCTAGGTAAAAATATCTATATCTAGCAGTTTTTATCCTTTCTTTATCTTACATGGCGTCCGAAATATGATTATACCCATCTCGGAAACGAAACAAGGTGGCATAGTTCGGTTTGTGGCGTTTAAAGTTTTCAAATTTCTTTGCCAGCCTTGGAAATATCTGTTTTGAAGGAGCTCGGCGCTCTGGGTGAAGTCTAATATACTGACGACGAGCTGCGGTTGCACTTTAATTATTCAGAAAGTATACTTGAAGCATATCACTCCTTTCGCGGATGCTAAATTCGCGAAAAAGGAATTTAACAATAATGGCTGGGACGACAATTCAACCATCAAAGTTGTTTACTAATATGTCAAACATGAACATATTTTTATTTGTCAGCCAGGGCGCTTTTTGAAATTATATAAAAGTTTCCTATTTTTGCCGATTTGTCAAAAACGAGTGGACTAAAATATAAAGTGTGTTAAATTATTGTAATCGGAATAAGATACTCTATCATTCTATTATTCTATCATTCTGTTATTCTATCAAGCACATATATAATATACCGGGTGTTTCCTTTAAAAAAAAAGACGTAGGCTTATATGTCAGAAAATTGATAGCGTTTCGTTTTATACGTCACTTGGAAAAAAACTTGGCCACTAACACTACATTTTGTTATTTTGTTTACCTTGATATCTCTAAAAACAAAAAGTTCCAGCCAATTAAAATGTTTTTAAGATAAATTGAAAGCACGGTCGATAAATAAAAAACTGTTGATTTAGAAAAGGCGGGGTGAAAATGTTTAACGTTGGGGTCACAAAAAATATACGTATTATAAAGGTATTCCTGATTCCTAATAAACAATTAATACAAAATGGCGGTTTGAGAAGATAAAAATTAGTTAAGATACATTGAAATTCAAGGAATCAGGACGGGAGAATATTTAAGAATTATTTTATTTGAACAAATTACTACCTAAATTAAAACAATACGAATAAAGACGGAGGTCATCTATGCGAATGAGCCTCAAATTACTATTGTACATTGCACATTGATGGGACTTCCGGTAATAATAATAAAATCACACAGATATTGACAACGTGGTCCTAAGTGTTCGAATTTTTTTCGTAATTAATTTTTCATTGGTCTAAAAGAATAATATTTTTGAAAATTCGAATAATTGATAATTGAGATGAAATTTGTAAATGTCAATCAAGTAAGAACAGTTGCTCAATAAAACAAAAATATACAGGATTTAGAAAATAAAAATTAACTTTCTAAAAAGTTTAATAATTTTGAAATGGGCAGAAACATTAAAATGATCGACAAAAGAAATGATTAATTATATCAGTTTATGGGCAATTTATGAAGCATAAATTTATTTTCGTTGTTGTTGCTGTATTTTAGCTAAGCTATTGAACACCCCGTAAACGATAAGAATGGTTAAAAACAATTGTCTGCTGGAGTAGATATTCAATTTCATTAAGCTTTATATCAACTAAATCAAATAATCTTTCAGAAAAGCAATTTTTATGTCACGTTTCGACATATAATTCACTTGCCTCGGATACTTTTCTATTGAATTTAGAGTTATTATAATAAAATGGCATATCGGCAGAAATCATTTCGTACTTATAAATGAAAAATGAACTAGCAATATTTTTTACGAAAGTGAAGTTCTAATATTACGCTCCTAAGTAGAAACTGTCCCAACGCCACACAAGGTTTGATGTAGATAACTACGAACCTTACACCGGAACTACTTACCTACCTCATTACTGTCGTTATAACTATGACTAAATATTAATTTAAAAAGCGGTATCATAGATATACGTCCAGTTTAGTTTAGACGAGATCCAATATTGTTTTTATAAAAGTCAAATTGAGGATGTAAAATTTGAAGGACATGATGATGAAGTAAATTTTATACTAGAACTCTCAGGAAAAATGAAAGCAAATTTCACTGAAATTCAATACGCCTTCCTGTAGGCATTTAATATTTCCGCTAATTCAACGATTTTGAAATATTTACTTTTCAATTAGGCAGTGTTAAATAAATATTGAATAACACTAGTTTTTCAAGTAAATTTTTTTCTTAGAGGACTCTATAGTTCTGAGATTTTTTAAAATAATAATTACATTATGCTTAGTTTAACGTCTAAGTCTTGCAAATTTTTTCTTATATGTTTTAATTAAGGTAATTCGGGAGGAAATTGAAGGCGTTTTTTGACATTATATTATAACGATTATTTAAAAAACGCAATCCTTTTATTTTGCGAATTCTTAATCCAAATGGGTACTACTCATAAGCTACAATTTTCAATTGCGGGCTGGATGATTTTTTTAATTTTTCAACTATTTCAACTGCAGTTTGAATGCAACCGTTTGCCAAACTCTTCTTTTTCAATTCTGTTTAGTAATATATCATACAATATTTTGGCACAAAAATAACGGTGATAGAAAAATGTATATCCTGCAATTTGCTTGCTTAAAATATGTTGCATGCGATGAAAGCATTTGTCATTACAACAGGTATCTCATAAATATCCTCTAGGTTCGTCTTATTTGAGGTCTTTTGAATGAATTATAATTCTCATTTTAAGCTGTTGACAAACGCTTACGGCATATACGGAAGGATAAGAATAGCAATTAATAATTTTACAATTGATTCATCCCAGACAGGATGTCCAGAATTTGATGAGAGGTACGTTATTATTAAAGTTTCGAAATTCGATAATCATAAACCAATGAGATTAAGTATACCAAAGATTATAACACATAACAAATACTATTCCTCTATTAGGGTAGGCATATGGTCAAATTCGAAACGGAAAGATACGAAACTAGAAATAAGCAAACTAGGTATGAGAGCGTAATATTTTTGGAACTGCGGCAGACAAATGGAATCGTACTCGTGTGTATTAAGAAAATACTTCAAATCTTGAAGCAACACCTGTTCCGTTTCACCCACCTTAGGAACACTTAACGCACACCTACTCGTGAGTCGATCGCCATCCGAATATGCATTATACAAACGTCAAATAGATTTACCTTAGACAAACCCCATCACCGTACACAACACAATAATGACAAAACAATAATGACAATCACATTGTGTGGGTCTCCGCCCCGCCGTCACTGCATCGATTTAGTCCAAAAACAATCGAAAGCCCACCCCCCTCTTTGGCAGAAATACTCACCCGCTCAAAGATCACTTTGTTATCTAACATTTTCACAAATTAATTGGGACCATTCGAGACACGAAAATGACATTTTTAAGCTGACTTGTTCAGAACTAAAAGCCCTGCAACCCCGGAATCGATTGTTTGGCACATGCTTGGCGAGGGCGTCGCGACGCCGTCCGTGGGTATCGGCGCGTAGTTTGAATTAACGAAGTATTGGGCCGATTTGAGTTCGGGCGATATTTAAAGTTCTATTATCACATTTATGGATCTACGGAAAACAGAACGTGAATATCACAAATAATAACTTATTAGTCTGAATATTTGTAACTATTTTTTTAGCTTTTTATATACCGGGTGGCTAATTAAGCAAATCAAAATGTTCAAAAATTGATTTTCAAACACACAGCAAGCCAAAATAGTGACGGTCCTGTAAGGCTCCATTGTTTTTTTTTTCACCATGTTTCGCCCTAAGGGCATTTTTATAATGAAAAAATATTTTATTGCTACTATTTCGAAATCTACAACTTTTTCTAAATGCTAAAAACGATATAAGAATAAAAATTTATTTCCATTTTAAAAAAAGGTCTTTTACGATTCCTTGATTAAAAATTTTTATGTAACCTTTTGATCACCCTGAATTTATTTATCTTTTAAATGTCAGCACAGATCACTAAAGTAGATAAGGAAATGAATCCCAAATACATAACATAAGTTTTCAGTTGTAGGAATCCATAAATTTTAACCTGAAAACGTCAATTTGGAGATAAAATTGAGAATATAAATCAAATATATCAAGAAAGTTTCGAGAAATTAAAAAAAAAACCTTAATTTGCGGGGTGCTCCATTTAAAATAAGGAAACAAAATATACACATGCATAATATTTTAAAAGCACAAATGAATCCGAACAACTTCTGTTTTTATTATTTTGTTGATATTATGTACAGATTCTGGGAAAAGGTTTCATTCCAGGACAAATAAAATTGTTTTAACTTTATGAGTATCTAACCGGGACACATTGGCCACACAATTGTCAGTTATGGTGAATTTGATAACAATAGGCAAAACCCATAAATGGACACCACGCCCGGGTGGTACCGCTGAAAAAAAAAGCGAATGTCAAACAATGAAATTGGCTTAAATATTCATTCGGTCACTTTAGTTCATTTGCATACCTAGTGAAATTTATCAATATCAATAAGCCACGATTGAACTGAGAAAATTAGTGGTCTTAGCCGTAGTTGACCTACTTGTGCCTTAGTGTTTAGAATTAAAAATACAGTTTCCGACAAATGTTGGCAAAGTTCTTTCTGAAAAATGACTAGTATATTTCAAAAACCGATTAGTCAAACTCCGTTTTGAAAAAACGAGAAAGGCAAAGGTTTTGTAGCAAGACATAATACCACATTGAAAATGAGGAACGTTGAAACTCGCTTGCAAGTGGGAATAAAGAAAACAAACTGTGAAAAATAGAGTAAAGAAAGAAAGAAAAGAAAAAAGAAAGCTGCATGCTAGAGAGCACTGTAGATACTTTGACCTCCAATGACTATAGTTCATATGAATATTGTAGACAGTAGGACGTTATTTTTACTTTTATTCTTTATATTTTATACATTTACATCATTTCTCGTATTTATAAATAAAATAATTATGACAATAATTGACTAAAATGCGCGTTGAGTGTTTCAGTATTGAGGGCATAGTCAACTAAATACCCGAGCTGGCGCAATATTCCGTCTTCTTAGAATTCAATTTGGTTTGTATACGGTTTTTATTAAAATATATATATATTTTTTATTAATGAGAAACGTTTCTTCTCCGACGTACTGAATTGGAACGGGCGGGAATAAATGAAAAACCAAAATTCGTAACGACATCGACATTTTCTGCTTCTGAGACTTTAATTTTAATTTTGTCGTGATTTATTCGTGCAAAGGGTTCCGACTTAATATTTCGTTCTGACAGGAACAAGCCAATCAACAGAACGTTGAAAGTATGAACGATATAATTAGTTATTCGCTTCAAAGTCGACGAAGAAATTCATTATAGCGACTTTGAAATAGTTTCTGAAGTCCATTCCAGCTTCCAAAATATATTCCACATTCAAAAAAGTTAAGGTAGCATAAGCATTGGACATAGAATATTAAAACTTTATAAATCAAAAGAAAACTTTATTTTTATCGCACTTCCCCAACAGCGGTTTTTGTATTCAAATAGAGTTACGTTAATTGAACAAAAATTTGAGTTTTTGACGGTGAAATCCAAATACAAATGACTCTCTTTAAATCTGTTGTAAGGTTTCTGTTTCGCTTTACGCTGGAGAGATAGCTAGTCCCACATAAGCTTCAACTATCCCTCCTAGAGAGGTAATTAGATACATCTTGGATCTTTGAGTTCGTGGTTAAAAATTTTTGGTTTGGGTTATAAACATTTTGTTTTTGTGTATTACAAATGTTAAGGCATTTGATAGGGATCAGGTTGCATATATCTAATGGTTGTACCAATAGGTTCCTTTAAACCTGATGAAAATGTATTCAGAGCAACGGCGTTATATAGTTCACGTTGTATTTGTTTTGCGTAATTAATCGTGTGTATCAATAAACGAACAAATCAAATTCAGAATATTCAAAACTCGATCATAAAATTGATTGGGTTCTTCATTGGGTTGTTGACGCAGCATTATTAAGACATGATTTATCTCTTTGATCTGAAAAAAATCTGTACTGGATGTTTGAACATTAGTCACGACTTTTGTATTTATCTTTAGTTTACTAATTAGGTTCTCTAGTGATATAAAATTTTTCAATAAAAGCTTGACAAATAGCTGTATTTCGTTAAATCGTTTGGGTTCTCATCGAATTCTGCAAAGTAATTAGATTTAAAATTTGCCATACTTATAGGAGTTTCACTAGTATTGTTACTAGGTTGAATTACTGACTCTGAATTCTGAAAGTTCATGAAAAATGTGAAATAATTTTTCTGACCTTTTTCGGCACTTTGAACTTCGCGGATCAAACGTAAGCTACGTTTCCAGTATGAGAACATTCATTATGACCCCTAATCTTGATGCTAAGACAACGATCCTATGCGAAAACTTTCTTATGACTCCTTGAAGTATTCTTATGAACTATGACTTGGTAAAACCGACAGAATCAACGAGTGGTGGAATGACTTGCGCCCTACTGAGCATCATAGACAACCTCTAAAAAACAAAGCGTCGAAGAGTATAAGAAATGGGGATTGGAGATGTGGATCAACACCTTTTTTTTTTTTGAAGGACGGAAAGATCATCAAATCGTGCTCAACTTATAATTACCCGGGGATGAATATCTCAGATAACGGAACATTAGGTGATGCTATCAACGACAGAAATATAAGGCAGTAAAGCTATTACAATGGTAAACCGCTTCTTATGGAAGCAAAAAATTACAAGATGAAACAAATAGCTAATTTATAACAATATCATAAAAAGCATAGTTACATATGGGCATGACAGTTAAGAGGAAGGACTATGGGAATGCTGGAGGCAACAGAAATGGATTTCTGGAGTGCGCCAGGGAATTCAAGACTTGAAAAAGTCCCAAATGAAACAACTTCGGCTATAATGAAAGCACGGCACACGATAACGACAAAAGACTAAACATAACATTTCAATTACATATATTTAAAAAAAAAGTAAACTTCTTGGAATCTGTATAAATATAAAGATTATCTATTAAGGGGCCAGGACATTAACAGGATGTGCATATCTTTTTCTCCATATAATTGTAAGTATATTTCAAAACAATTTTAAAAAGTGTGTATTTGAAACCATGTAGAATGCCCAACAATTTCATAAACTTATTTTTCTAATCAATGACCGATCCTTAACAATTACTCATTTTACATTAATTTATTTACAGCAATTTAGTTAAGAAGTAGGAATAAATATAAAAGGCTTTATCGTTTATCAACAGTATGCTGTTTTGTAATATATACAGGAATCAAAGCTACAATAAAGTCAACTGAATAATAATTACAGTTAAAATATGTAACTGTACAAACTGATGGACGAAAAATAAATGCAGCTGTGTACGATTTTCTGCTTCTCAACTACAACACCAGAGATCTGGCGACGAAAGTTCCGCTTTTATAGGTCGCAATGCTATCTCGCGATGGGTATGGAATGTTCGAGTACCCTCTCGAAAAGCCGGCTATGTAGTCAATCGTCCATTGCTAAGATTGTGGTTAATGATGAACGTGCAGGGTCTAGAACTGAAAGCCTAATCCATAAATAATAAACAAAATCGATTGTCAAAGAACTCTTTATGCTGAGCACAACCGCAAATAAAATGTGACCGAATGCAGAAAAATACACATTGTGCTTCTATTGGCACATTTTGGAACAAGCGATGGTACAATAAAAAAATTTAACTAAATATTTGACAACCAAAAAAGCTATTGTCATGATTACAGCCATCGATATCAGATTCGTAAGAATTATTTTAATCGTGAGATAAAATTCTGATCTATTGCGCTTTCGCATAAAAATACTAAATTAGGTAAACATAAAGTTAATTTTTACGTAAATTCAATTTTAAAATTGCAGTAAGAATAAACTTTCATTTTTGTCGTTTCGTTTTCAACGGCACCAGAACACTTCGTCATAATTAATTTTTTGTTAAAAACGCTGAAGCTTCATAAACTTGTTATTTTAAATTCAAGTTTAAAAACATAGGAAGGAAAGGAAGTGGAGATTTTAAAATAGGTTGACAATAAACGTTGCATTTTAAAAAGTTCGTTTTAAAAAATGTGGTCAAAAGAAGACCATGGAAAACCTTTTCAAAATGGTCGCTAAAATTCACGTAGTAAATGTGTAGCTGCGACTTCTAAATGGGTGACTGCGAATTTTATCAACACGTTGCATGCCCTTTCTCTATGACTATTAGTTTTTGGAAATTCTCACCAAACTTTTTAACTGCAGTTAACATTCCAAAAGATTGACTAACGTCTGTGTTCATCTCTATACCTAAAACGAGAAATCCAAACGTCACTCATTAGCCTCATGTCTCATTCTAAATGTAATTCAGCTTGGAATATATCGAAAATGTCAACAAGATATGGGGGACGAACAATTTG